CAGTTAATGCCAGCAGTTATGTTGGATGTGAGCACTGAGCTGGATTTATGGGTCTGGCTTCAGCAAGGATTTAGTGAGCATTGTTTTAAATCAGTCCATTCTTTCCATTAAATAAAGCTGTTCTGGGCAAGCCTGTCCAAACTGGAATTCATCAGTCTCAGATTCATATTGTTTTGCTTCCTTCCTTTAATCTCTGTTCCGTGCTGTGAGGGTTGTGTTGGGTTGTTTTTATTTTCCTTGGAGCTTGAGCAGACACTGTTTTTTATGTAACTGGATGGAGACACTGTAGGACTGAAAAGATGTCACCCCAGTGAGGTGAAAGCTTCAGGCAGAATGCAGCACTTCCATTTTGTGTGTGCACACACCCTCCCTTCATCCTGCTCCTCTTTAACTGATGGTGATACACAAAACTGAGCCAGCACTTGGTGCTCATGAGCCAGGCTCTTGCAGGCACTCATCTTGTCCAGGGCTTGAAAAAAGCCATTTGTCTTGGGAAAGTGGAAAAAATGAAAAATCTTTTCCTATACTTAAACAGTATTAGTACCACCATAAATGCTGTCTGCTCTCAGTGAGCTGTTGTGCACAATTGTTCTGGGAAGCACAGAAGAAAAAGGTGGAGTTTGGGGTTTTTTAATACTTTGTCCATAGCAGCTTGTGCTCTTCAGTCTGCTCTTTATTAGTCTCCAGTTCAGGGGAAAGGAGTCTCCCTGCTGCCTGTTTTTGTGTTTTGTCTTGTTCCAGCTTGGCTCTGCAGCACTGTGGCATCCCTTGACTCCTTTCAGTGCTGCCTTTGGGCCCTTCAGCTGTTGCTCTTGTGAGATCAGGACTGCACAGTAGATGGCAGCCAGAAAATCAACTTGCCGAGTGCATGATAAAGCACAGTAGTGCTTTTTTTTTTTTTTTGCTTTTTTTTTTTTCTTCAAACTCAGTCAAGCAATAAGTGAATTTAGAGTTGCTTCTGTACAGATTTTCAGGGGTTTGGTTTGTGGTACAGGTGTCACTAGCAAAGTCTTAACCTTGTTTTTTGGAAAGGCCTCAGAATTCAAATGGAAATGAACTCTTTAAGTGATGTCTTTAGTTCTGAGATGCTTGAAATCTCTAAGAATTTCATATATTTACTCTGATGGGGAGTTTTGACATAAAATCCCTCCTGCAGGAACCACTCACCTGCTTGATTTTATGCTCCATGTGAGATACTGGTACATAACCCAGTGGGTATTGGTGATGTAATCAACAGAGATCACCTTTGCCTAAGTGGATTTAGGTAACTTCCCTATATAAAATTCAGTTACCTTCACATTTTCCATTGTTTAAATGCTTTGGAATTCCTTTAGAAATCTCTCATCCACACATAAATATTTCTTCTCTTTCATAACCAAAAGGTAGCAACTTTCCAGTATTTATTGTACCTTAGTTTTCCACTTGGTGATTCTCCATTTCATTCCACTTAATGTATTAGATAAGATCTGCAGATTTGTGGGTTTTATGCTGTCTTTCCTAATCAGTTCATTGTACTCATCGTGTGTCTCAAACTTAAATTAGCCTAAGGGAGTGTAGAACAGTTCTGGTGTGATTTCTGCATTGGAAGTTTTTAGAAGGTTCTGGATCTTCAGTGGATACTCAGTGGTTTGAACAAGACTTCTTAAAATTTCCATCTGCCATACTTAAGTTGTTGATGCTTGCCTCGTAGTTTTCAACAGCAAAACAGCAAACAGCAAATATGAACAAGCACTGGAGAAGTTGGTCATCCATTTGTATTTTGAAAGCATTTAAGAGGTTTGAAAGCAGCCCAAGTTAATGAAAAGCTGTGTTGATGTCTCCTGCTCAGGATGGAGCAGTGGGTGGAGGTATGAAGGAACTCATCACTAAGCAAAATTCCTGTCCCTGGGCAGTGAGGTGTGGCTGCAATCCAGGGCTGGACGTGTTTGCTGTTGCTTGGAGTAGCTCTGGGCTCTCTGATGTCTTGGCTGGGCCTGTGGGGACTGGACTTGGTGGGGTGGGAAAGTGTGAGCCAGGGCAAAACAGAGGACTGGCTTGATTTAGCCTCTCACAAATGGGGCAGACTCAAAAGATGCAAATTAAAGAAGAAAATTCTCATTAAAGCAAACTTACTGATGATTCTGGAAGTTCATAGAACATGCTATTTAACACAGCTGACATTTCAGAGATCTTTGTCTATGTCATGGTTTGATCAAACTAGGACAGTCTAATATTAAACGTGGCAGGAGGGGTTTGGTCATCAGACTCTCTCTCAGCACATGAGTTATTGTTTCCTGAGAGCTGTGTGCTTATGCTTGGTACTAACTCCTGGCATACAGGAGACTTGAAAATGAGCTTCTGGACAAGTCAGAAATGCAGCACAGCCCCTTGCAGGGCTGTTAGAGCCCAAATAAGAGGGCAGCCTTTTTGGGGCCATGTGTAATGCACCTGAATTTGGCTGTGCCACTGGGTTGCTTAAGTGCCTGCTTGGCAATCTTGCTGTTTTGGGGGATTATTTCTCTTGCAAGAAGTGGGCAGAAGGAGATGGGAAGCATAATGGAATAATAAATGGTATGAGGGTAAGAGGAAGGATCAGGAGGTGCTCAGGGACACAGCCTTGTCTCTTCCACTTCCTCCTCAGTTCCACTTAAAACCTACAAGAGATAAGAGTGCAGATTGGAGTTTAGTCAAGGTTAGAGCTAAAGCACATCCCTCCTTTCACCTCAACAAACATTTGCTTGTCTCAAACCAAGGTGAGAAATAATTTTAATTACCCATCTAGCAAGTTCCCCCCTGAAGGGGAAGGAGCAGCCTCCTGACAATGTATTTACTGCTGGTGAGTCACTGTATGGCCTGGACAGATGTTACACCTCTGTGAGCTTCTCCAGCCTCTGTGCTCATCTGGATTTGTCCTCACAGCCCATCAGTCACCACAGAGTTGCTCCCACTTCCCCAGTGGTGAGCTGAAGCTCAGTCTGTGAGCTCCCCATCCATGTAGGTTTGTGGAGAACACAGTCTGGATTCCCTGGGTTCCTGCCCAGTGCTCTCCCCAAAGAGAGCTACTGCTTTGGCATAATTTTTTTGCTTTGAAATGTCATGTTCCTGTTTAAATTTTTTCTCTGTGCTGCTGGGAGGAGAGCTGTTGGTGCACACACCAAAGGCATTGTCTCACAGGGTTGGAGCTGTGACACTCAGCCCATCTCAGAGGGGCCTGGGGCCAGCTGGCCAGGGAGAAGATGTGTGTTCCTCTGTGTACTTCTTTCTTTTTCTAAAATAGCTTTAGCCTTGTATTTTTGTGATCCAAGTGTACTAATGCAGAAATAGTGCTTTCTTCTTTTTTCTTTTTTTTTTTTTTTTTTTTTGTGTCTTCCATGAATGGCTATAAAAAATGCCCTGTAGCAGTTAGTGCCACACAAAGAATTTGTTTTTCTGCTTCCAGAGGGCTTTGGCTCCTCTGAAAATGGGTCATGTTCAGAGTGAGTTTGGCACAGGCTGTTCCCACATCTGGCTTGGTGACCTCACTGCTCTCTCCTCACCTGATGCACCTCTCACCTGGCTGGAAATGGAGAAAAGGAGAGGGTCAGGGAGCTGTTACCAAGGAGGCAGCATTCTGTCAGTGTCAGGTTCAATGAATGGCCTTAGTGTTTGCAGGCACTGAGGAATTTTGGACAACAGTCCAGTGAGTCACAAAAGGTCTTTGGGAGGGAGGCAGAGGGAGAGGGCAATGTTGGGATACAGCTGGTACTGTTTCAGAAACTTTATTTGTGCTGAGCTTGATATCACTTGTGACTCTCCTGGGATCTCCTAGAAGCACCAAAATATTTGGGTGTTGGTCTCAGTATGGTGAAACCATATTTAAGAATGTCTTATCCTACATAATGCCTCCTGCTGAGCACACTCTGCTGCAAACATCTGCAAATGAGATATCCTTAATTTCTTTGAGCAGACAAGGATTAGCTGTGTGGCCATCTCCAAACAGAGCACTGCAAGTGCAGGTTGCTCTTGAGTCCCTGGTTGGGCAGGTTGGCTGTGTCACTCCTGGAGAGCTGCCAGTGGGATCATCCTCCTGAAATGGGAGCACAGCATCTGCATCCCCAGCACTCCCTGGCAGTTGGGTTTGGTTTGGTTTGGTTTGGTTTGGAGAGGGTTTGTCAGCCAAAGCCTGCATGGCACAGGGGCACAGATGAATTTAGGCATAATTTTGGCATAATTTTTTTGCTTTGAAATGTCATGTTCCTGTTGAAATTTTTCCCTGTGCTGCTGGGAGGAGAGCTGTTGGTGTACACACCAAAGGCATTGTCTCACAGGGGTTGGAGCTGTGGCACTCAGCCCATCTCAGAGGGGTTTGGTTTGGTTTGGTTTGGAGAGGATTTGTCAGCCAAAGCCCTGCATGGCACAGGGGCACAGATGAATGTAGCATCACACATCTCTCCAGCCTGGGAGCCTGCAGAGCTCTGGGAGCCTCCCAGAGCCTGGGGAGGCTGATGAGGAGCTGATCCCTGAGCTCTGGGAGCACCTGGGCTGTGGCCACACTGCTCTGGGGATGCACCAGGCTGGTCCTGCTCAGCTGCACAGAGCTCTGGTTGGCATTCCCAGGACTAAAGGAGTCTCCTGTGGGCTGGATCCAGCCTGTGTTCACCTAACTGTGCTCTAAAACACTGCTTGGTGCCAGGGCCAGTCACCAGAAATGAAAAATCTATGCTTTGATCTGTTCTGAGGAAAGGCTTTGTGTACAGCAGTTTCTGTGGAATTCCAGAGGAGTTCAGTGTCCAAGACCCGATGAAACAAAGCCTTAATTCTTTCATTAAATTTAGCTTTGCAAAGAAATGGAGCATCCTGTTAGACTTTGACTTTCCACGGTCCAGACATTGTTCTCTTACCTAATAAATTGGATTTCATTCTTATTTTTTATTCTCTTGTCTCAGAAAAAAATTGTACATTTCTAAATGTACAATTTAGCATAGCTTTTTGGGTTGGACCCATAACTTGACTAAAATCTGGGTTTTCCTCCTTTTTTGCAGGAATTCTCAGAAGTGGAGAAAAGAGATCCTCAGGAGCTAGTTGGTAAGTTCACTCAAAAGTATTTATTCACAGGTTTTTATTCAAGCTAGACCTTGTAAGTCCCACTTGTAAAAAGCAGCTTCCCTCTGCCCTGGCAATGCTGTAATTTACTGCATGAATATTTTCAGTGAACTTTTCTTCTGGGAGAAAGGCTTCATACCTAAAAATATGAAAATAATTTCATGTTTAAAACATGTATGTAAAGGGCAGTGTTGGTGTTTTTCTAGATGAGCTTAAAACCAAGTGTAGCTTTGTCTAGACAGAGCCAGTGGAGCCAGGAGTGATGACTTTGTTCTGTGGTTTCCAAAACTCACTAAAAGTATCCCCATTTAAACGTGAGCCACTCACAGATTTATGCAGCTGCTGTGCTGCATAGTACTCTATGTTTTCTAATAGTTACTAAAACTTGATTTTTGTGACATCTCATTTAGTCATTGCACCATTATTAGATTTGGAAAGTCCAGGGTTGTCAGCTTGAAATACAATCCTCTGCACAGAAACTGCATTTTATATTGTATTTCTGACTGTCTTGCACTGATCCTCCTGCAGTTGTCTGGTATAACATAATAATATCATTAAAAACAAATGAGTTTGGAAGTTGCTTCATCTCTCAAATCCATTTGATATTTCAGTCATAAAATGAGGTAAATATAAATTAAGATGTTAAATACTTGGGTCAGGTGTGACTCCTACAGCAGCCATCACTGAAGCCTGGCATTTATAAGTCCTTTTGAGTTGGCCTGCTCAGACTTTGCAATGCTGTCTATTGGATTTTCTGCCTTTAAAGGGCAAAACTGCTTCAACCAGTCTCATCATTAAATGCAACAGAAATCTTTCTCCAATCTACTCATCCTCCTCAAAATGCACCCTGGAAGCATGGATGAGACAACAGGATTTGGGGTAAAAGCTACAGCACATTCTCTGGAAGCCAACTGCTCTTTTCCTGTGTTTTACATGTGGGTGAAGCTGTGCAGTTTGAAGCAATGTAGTGGGAAGTCCTTTCCCAATGAAGGTGTGAGGCTCAGGTTACAATTCTGTTTGTCCCCTTTTCCCACAGTGACTGCCCAGGCTGCATTTCTTTGTCTCACCATGGCCCAGACTTGCACATGGCTTCAAAAGCAGCACAGGGAGCACTTGGTATTGTCACAACTCATGGGTGAGCAGTGTTGGAGAGTCTGAGACCTGGACTGAGGTCTCTGCAATCTTATCTTTAATATCCTTTCCAAACAGCAGTGTGCAGGCTGGCTTTGTGCAGAGCCAGGTTATTAGAGGTCAGCATACTTGCCATGCTGGATTCTGTAGGTCTGTTCCATTAGACCATATCTTATCTAGTTGAAAAGGAACTGTTGCAAGAGACTTACAGTTGGAGTAATGTAAGAACCACTCCCTTTCTGAAAACTTGGACTTTCACAGTTAAAATTCTTTAATGGAAAAAGGTGCAAGATTTTATGACACAAAGTGAGTAACTGCTCCAGTGTGGACCCCTCAAGTTTTGTCTATCAGTCTGTGGAAATCAAGGTCCTCCTTGGATTGTTTTCCACAACTGCTTTTTGCATTAAAAGAGTGTGGGCCTGCCCTTCTCAGGAGATAACCCTACATTTTTCTGCATCACCTTTATTAAAGTCTGTGATTGTGCAGTTGCTTAAGTATTAAATCAGTGCAGGCTCCTGCCAAAAGCACTGTTTGTGTTTTACCTCCCCGGATGCACAAAAACCTTGGAGCAGCTCTGGGAGTGGGAGCCAGCTGGGATCCATCTTCACTGCTCCTTTTTTGTTGTTTCTTTTTTTTTTTTTTCTTTTTCTTTTTTCCTGTGAGGCTTCCAGCTGGATCCATTCCCTGATGTGCCTAGAGCATGCTAGGTGAGCACTGGAGTTGGCACAAAGAAAACAGTTGGGATGAGCTGCTGGGAAGGGCATGGTTGTCCTGACTTGTGCCAAAGTAGTAATCACACAATCAATGGCTGACAGAATGAGTGGGAAGGTTTCAGCCCCCTGTTTGAGAAGGAAATATGTGTGAAGCTTGTTTTCATAGATTTCTACATCAGCATTGTCCTTTGGGGCTTTTTGTACCACTCTGAATCAGTTCATGGTGCTGCCACGACATTGCATTTACTGTTTCCTGCAGCCTTGCAAAATAATCCTTGAAGGATGTAGGGTTTTTTGCCCTGAAGTTCTTTGCAGCATGGTTGTTTACCTTTTGGATCATAAGAAATGTTCTCTCCAGCCCTTGGGATATCTAAGCACAAAGTCAGTGTTCATAAGAGCAGAAAGTATGGCTGGGTTGCAGGTCTCCCTCTGCATTTCTCAGCCCACGGAGCAGAAAGGGACCTGGTGTCCTTCCATGGATGGGTGACTCACTGGCATGTTGTTGTCTCCAGTTCTTCCCTGTGATTTGGCTGTTCTGGTGCCAGGAAATCAGAACCCCCCCACCCTGGTTTGTGCCAAGCAGCCTTGGCTGGAGTGCCAGGGAATGCAGTTGTGGAGAGCTGGCACCACCGGTTTGCCTGTCTCCAGGGGAAGCCCTTGCTGCTCTGATCACCCTTTCCTTGTGTTTTTTTGTATAGTGTGACCTTTAGAAAGAAACTGGCACCTGAACTGCCTTTAATCCCTTGTGGCTGCTTCAAACAGAGCTCATAACTGACCCCTGAAAGGGACAGGAGTTCTTTATCCCACCTGGGAGCAGAGTTAATCCAAGAGCCATGATCCACACCGTGTCTGTCCTGTACAGCCAGCTCTGTGCTCTCTGTTCTTTGCTTTTCTCTGCACTAGGAAAACATTCCTCCCCATCTGTAGGAAACAGAATTCCTGTGTGCTCTCTGACAGTGTCTCCAGCACAGCCTTTGGGCTGAGAGCAGTCATTTTCCTCTGGAAATGGAGCTCACAATTTACACTGTGCCACTTTCTCTCCTGCTTTGCAGATTTGTCTCCTGTATTGGGTATAGGTCTCATAATCCATCCATCTCAAACTGAAGCAATTTAAATATAGCATTTCCATTTCGTTTTCTGCCTTACCAAGATCTGGTGAGCAAATCCTTGAAATCTGTGAAATCTCCTTCAGTGACTGCTGAGGTGCTGAGTCTGTGCAAGATGATATTTGCCTGTGCATGGCCTGGGAGCAGAGGAGTGACTGCACACAGAGCTACAAACACCTTCTGCTTGTGCTGATGAAGGGTTTAATTTTTAGGCCAGCTTGTGGAAGGAGAATGCACAGACTAAGCACCAGCAGCAGTGTCCTCTAGCAGCAGGAAGCTTTCAGGGGCAGTGGCCCCTGCTTTCTTGAACCCCCATCTGACTCATGGGATCTGCTTCACAGCTTAATTCTTTGTCAGGACTGAGAATCTGATTGGGGAAGATATTTACTTACTGTGAGCCAGAATCTGGGTGTGCCTGGAGTGATTAATTGTGCCAACAGCCACTTCCTGAGGTCCACATTTGGAGATCCTCTGGGCTGTGAGCCTGCAAATCACAGGGCAAATGAGGGGCTGGAGCCAGTGTCACTACCTGTGACTCATGTCAAAGTAAAACTTTGGTCTTGACAGGAATAACAGGATGCACAGAGCAGTTGGATGTATCCTGTGAGGACACACCTTGTTGTGAGCTGTTCATCTGCAGTTATTGCTGTAGATATGGTGGAAAGCTGCCCTTGGGACTTGGAAAACACAAAATGTTTTATATAGGAGTGTGTGGCCATACATGCAAATGCCAGGATTATAATCCCAGTTTTCCTCTAGGGACAGAGCTGGTGGGAAGATGCTGTGGCCATTCTGTCTGTGTGGGGAGCAAGTCTGAGGACTGCTGGAGGGCATGGATAATTTGTACTTCCTTACTGTAAATAAGCCCAAAGGGGTTAAACTCACCCTTAAACTCACCCTTTTCTCTTCCCAATGATGTGGCACCTCAGGCTGGCTGCAAAGTGATGAAATAACTGAGTAATGCTACAAGTTTGTGCTCAGTTTGGGAGGTGCATGTCCTGCCTTGCTGCTGGCAGTGTTCAGCTGCCTCCAGCTCTGGTAGGATTGAAGGAGGCAAAGATTCCTTAGGTCCAGCTCCTTGTAAACCATTAAAAGATGCTTCCCCTCATAATGTTGATAAAGGATTATTTTCACAAGGCTCAAACAAAAGAGGAAATGATCACCAAACCTGAAAAGTCATGCATCAAAATATACTGTCTCATTGGGAGCTCTTGTTCTGCTTCCAAAATTATTTCTTTTTCAAGGGGGCTTTGAATGGATTGCTGAAGATATTCTTATGACTTTAACTTTTTTTGCAGGTAAAACAGAGGTCCTGCCCAGTGTTCCTGAGTTTATATGAGCACACAGTTCCCCTTCCCATAAATGTTTTGTTTCTCTGTGGCTTATCTGCAAAGAGCCTGTGGGATGTCTAATGTGGAGCTGGGCTAGATTTTTTTAATTAATTTTTTCAGGTGCTTTCTTTGCCTAATAAAATCTGGATTTAATGGCCTTATTTTTTCATGCTTCTGCTGTGAACCTCTTAAGCCACTAATCAGCTTTTACCTTCCCAGCAAGCCTTGTGTGCTGTGTGTTACCCACACTTTGTGTCTTTGCCACTGTCTTTCTGGGTTTCCTGCAGCTCTAATTAACCCAGAGGCCTCCCCATCCCAGCAGCAGCTGTAACCTGTAACAAATGTGTGCCTTGTTGTCAGGGAGCTCCCTTTGCCTGCCTTTCTCTGGGCACTCTGGCAAGCTTTCCTCCTTCCATAAAGGCTCCCACTTGCTAAATGCCAAAGGACGCTTTTTGTTTGTTACTGGCAACTGCTGGAGAATTTAACCCTCAGCAACATCTTGATCAAACAGAATGAGTGGTCGCCTGCCAGCTTTTCCTCTCAAAGGATCTTGTCCTTAATGCTTCACATTTTCACAAAGGACATGGAAACTGTAGCAGCACTGATGGTGTGTGTGGTGTTGTTTATCTGTAGCCTCAGCTCTGCAGGGTTCCAGCAGCCCTGTCTGGCCTTTGGGCCCTCCTGGCCTTTATCCAGAGGAGCTGAACTCTGGGTGCTGGAGTTTTACTGGGGAATGTGTAACTGAGGAGCTGCACATGTGAAAAGCTTGGTTGATGTGACTTGTGTGCTGCTCTCAGGTCCCTTATCCACTGCAGAGCAACTCTGGGATGTGTTCCCTGGACAAATTATGCTTGAAAACAACCCCAGCTGCTTAAATGGGGCACAAATCTCTGCTCCAAGGCTTGGCCAGAGAACTGCCTGGGTTTCCCATAATAGTGGGAAAGTAGCAAGCAATGGGGGGAAATGTGGCCGTTTCTTTTGCTGATAACCCTGTAAAATAATCTTTATAGGGCAATCAGGTACTTTAGTAGTGTATCCCAGTACAAACAGCTGTGGAAATTTGGCAATCTGGACTGGGCTGTTCCCAGTCCTGGAGGACGAGTTGTTCTTTCTAGCAATAGTCTGTCTCTGTAAGCAGAGATCAAAGTGCCTGCTAAGGAAGTGTTAACTTAAGGATTAAATGTAATTTCTTGTGGTTAACTCTTGACAGCCTTGGGGAGCATTGTTCTCTCCTTGAGCCACTTTGGTTCATCCAGGTATGTCCTGAACTAAATATTCACCAAGTGATTATCTCCCCCAAAATGGCAAAGAGCCAGACTGCATAAAATTGATGCTGTGCTCCACCCCATGCATGGTCCCATTCTCTCTCCAGGAGTGTATCAATAAAACAAGCATCACATCCCCTCTTCCAATGACCCAGCCTTCAGGTTCTTTAGTTGCTTCTTGTTCAGCACCTTGAAAACATCACAAGTCCCAGCTGTTAGCATTGTCATCACCTTTGCCCTGGGTTCCCAGTGAGGGAGTAGTGCTGACATAAAAGACATAAAACAAATTTAATGACTTGTATGGCTGAAATTCCCGTCAGTAGTTCCAGAACTCACCCCAGTTTGTTCTCTCCAGCTTCTTTTTCAGAGAGAGTGAGGAACATGTCTCCAGATGAGATCAAAATCCCTCCTGAGCCTCCTGGCAGATGTTCTAACCAATTGCAGGTTGGTATAAGTCCACTTCATTTATTTTTCTTTTCTTTTTTAAGATTTGCAGTTCAGGGCAAATTTGGGAGCCCTGCTCAGTAAATTTGCACAAGGCAAAGCTCCAGCATTAAAGCTGGGCTTTACCACACTGAGTTTATGAATGCACTGTGTTAATGCTTTAGGCTTTACAGCAGTTCCAGTTTAGGAATCTCCAAGTAGCTTTAAGTTGCTTTCCAGCCTCTGTGGGTTAATTATGCTTTAAAACAGCTCTTGATGCCAGCAGTGACACAGAAGCAATGTTTACTGTCAGGGCTGCTTTCCTCTTACCTCAGCAAATTCAGCTCCCTAGCAAAGAACAAATTGTTTTTCTATACAGCCCTGAAATCCCCTAAACTGGAATAGTTGAGGCAGCAATGCCTGGATTCCTTTTCCACCTACATGTCTCTGGATGGTAAACATTTAGAGGGAAGGCTGGTAGCTTAGAGGCAACAAAAGAACACAAACACATGTTTTCTGTGGTGCACACCCAAATAACAGCAGTGACCAAGTTTGCAATAATCTGTGTTCTCCTCATGGAGTGCAAATGAAAGAGCAGGGACTGCTGTCTCCTAACACACACTTGAGTTTTAACTCTGGTTTTCTGCCCAGCAGAAATACAAGTCAAGAATCACTCCTGAGCTGCTCTATAAAGTGGCCCCTAACATGCAGTGGTGATTCAGAGTGACTCACCATGCAGATGATGCTTTCTTCTCCACACACGGTACCTGGGCACACCCAGACCTCCTCTGGTGCTGTAGGAGGATTTTACTGTTCTGACATCAATGAACTGGAGTGTGTTAGAGCTGAGGAATGCACTGAGCTTGACAGGGTAGACAGAATAAAGCAGAATTTTTCCCCTTTGACAGAAGTTTAGTGTGTTACATCAAAGGGGAGCTTGTCCTCTGTTGGCAGGTCAAACCACATCTTAGAGCACTTTGAGTAAGGAGATGGGATTGTTCCTTAGAGATGCAAAATGTTCTGGGCTTTTCTCTTGGTGGTTTGCTCTTTTGTCAAATTTTTCCTCTGATAAACTGTATTTTGAACTCTGCCAAAGGCAGGACTTCTTATTGTAAAGTTGACTGAGTAGTTGCCCATCTGTGGAACTTGGGGAGCCTCATTGCTACTCCATGGGGAGGGGATAAAAGGGAACACCTATTCAGTCATTCCTACTCCCCAGATTCACCCTTTTGCAGTTTGTTCCTTCAAACCTCACCATGTGCTGCTGGACGTGGGGATGGTGTCATTTCCTCTTGCTGATTTTGTGACAACTTGATGAAAATTTATCTCATAGAAGTTTTTTTAAGGTGCTTGAGTTTCATATCAGCTCTTAACAATCCTCCTTTATTCAGGCTGCAGCAAGCCCTCAGACAATAGTCAGCTCTGTGTTTGACTGTCCAGGGAGGGAGACATGAAGTGACTTATCCAGAAGCAACAAAGGAAAATTGACTCAGCTTCTCCCATCCTGAAAGACTGAAGACCCAGCTCTGGTTTTGTTTTATGTGCCTCTTGTACATGAGGAATTTCTGTCATAAAGAAAAGATGATGGAAATTACTGAGGATATTTTAGCAGCACCACTTAACTCTGTCTGAAAGCTCCTGCCTCTGGTGTCCCTTCACCATCACCAGAGTAGGAACACTTTTATGTGTTTTCATCCACCTTACTGAGGAAGGGAAAAAATCATGTTTGATTTGAAATCTTTTAGCCTTTTAGAGAACAGACTGCTTGACAACTGCAACCTGGGTCAGTTAAGTTGCCTTTGGCATGGGCTTGTGCCTTGTGGGTGATGTGCAGAGAGAAGCTGATTCCATCTGACTGGTACCAAAGCAGGGATTTATGAGCACATTGTTCCCAAGAGCATTTGGCTGCAGTGGGCACCCCCAGCAATACCTGATGATCACTCTGGGTTTAATTCTCCAGCAGAACTTGGCTCTGGCCCTGCCTGGCTAGCAGATGAGCAGGAGCTTTGCCCTGTGGGCAGTGTAGCCCAGCTGCTGGGTCTCAGGTGCTCACCTGAGGCTGCAGGTGGGTGTTGGTGGTTGCTGTGAGTTGTGGGGGAACCTCTGGATTTCAGAATTGGCTTTTCTGTGTCCTGGCTGTGAAGGGAAACAGCAGCCTGGGAAGGAGGAGTCTGTGCCTTGTGTGCAGATCTTTAATCAGTGAAGCCCTCAGTAAGCGCAAAGAGAATTCCTTTAGCAATCAGACAGTTCATGAAGGTACCTCAGACATTCAGGGAGGAAATGTCTCTTGAGCAGCCTGGCCTGGTGTAAATCCTAGCTCTGGCTAAGGTCACTGGTTCAGTTGGCTTCTTTCCACATGCACAGGAGTCAGCTGCTGTGCTGCTCCTTTTCATCCTGGCTCACCCTATAATCTTTCTCCTGTAGGATAAAATTCAAAAGCTGTATGAGAGGAAAGTGAAAGAGGGCATGGACATGAACTACATCATCCAGAGGAAAAAGGAATTTCGCAATCCCAGGTGAGCCACCATCTTTTCATTGTGACCACAGCACCACAGAGCTAATTTGAAGAATTTCCCTCTTTGTTGGAGTTGTTGCAGAAGGATCCTGATCAGGAAGCATTACTGCTTACAAATTGTCTTTCTGAATTTTGTGACTGAAACAGTAAAACTCTTCTTTGTGTTTGGTAAAGCAGCAGCTGGAGTTGGTGTGTTGGTTAGATTTTAAATGTGGAGATGTGACTTCACATTTAAAATGTGTCTACTTTAAGTCTACTTTAGAAGACGTGACTGTTGTGGGAGCTGGGAGGTGTTTTGAGGAATAGGAAATACTGTGGATAATGGGGTGCCACATCCATCAGAGCAGGTGCAGCTCCCCAGCTTCCCATTTCACTTTGAGGTGTGAAGAGGTGACAACCTCCCTCTGTTGGCACATCCGAAACACTTCTGTTCCCTTTTGCTCCCTGGTTCTGTTCCCTTTTGCTCCCTGGTTCTGTTCTGACCTCTTGCTTTTCCTTTGCAGCATTTATGAAAAGCTGATCCAGTTTTGTTCCATTGATGAGCTTGGTACAAATTATCCAAAGGTGAGGGGCAGTGTTTGGAATGGAAAAGGAGTGGGTAAAGGTAACACATTGATGTGAAGTCTCACCTCAGGCTTCCTTCAGCCTGCTTGCTTAGAGGTCTTGTAATGCAACCTCAGTCTGAGCCTCTGCAGTGATGTGAACATTCCTGTGTAGCACTGAGCCCCAGTGCCCCAACCTTTGCTACAATGATTCTGCACAAAAACTGCTGAAGTGTGGAGCTCTGAATGGAACTCCTTGAGGGGGGAAAGAAGCTGAGTAACAGAAAAATGCATGACTTACCCCAGCATCCTTTTTGCTTCAAAGCTGTTTCTTCATTCACAACAGAACATGGTCCCATAAAAGAAGGTCTGATGGGACCTTTGTGTCACTGGGATACAGGAAGAAATCAGCGATGATTCTCATTGTCACCTCTGATTATCATCAGAGAACAGAAATACTTGAAGCATTTTTGCACTGGGTTTTGTGGTTCTGTGGGAAGAGCCCTAATCTGGTTTATTTCTTTTTTTCAGGACATGTTTGATCCTCATGGCTGGTCAGAGGATTCATATTATGAGGCACTAGGTAATTCCAGGAAGTCTCTTTTTTGTCCTAGCTTAGCTCTTTGTGTTTTGTACTTAATTAACTGCACTGGAGTCTTCACTTTATGTATAAATGAGAAGTCATCACATGCTGCTCTTTAATGACTCCATTCTGGTTGGATGTGCCTGAATGTTATTGATGCTTCATCAGTTTGGAAAGGCTTTTTAAATTGGTTCTGCAATGTTTTCATCTCTCAAATGACTAAATTAGTGCTGCAGTGCCTTGATTAAAAAGCAACAGTTGCTTTCGTGGCAGTTTAATTTTTCTATATAGAATTTGAATCTATTTTTTTTTTTAAATCATGGGAAGTGTGTGAATGAGAACTGCTGAATTTTGCTGTTCTTAGTGCTTCAAATCTTCTGCTCTTTCTCAGCTAAAGCCCAGAAGATCGAGATGGACAAACTGGAGAAGGCCAAGAAGGAGCGCACAAAGGTACCTGCTCAAAACCTAAAGAGATGCAGGTGCAGGGCTCTTGTTCCTTTCCCTGCTGGATTTCATTCCATTGCTTTGCTATTTCTATGTTAAAACTGCTTGTTTTATCCTAGATCTCTCCTTTATTCTTGCATTTCTTTTCCAAGTTATTTGCCCTTCCTTATAGGTCCATTTATAGGTTGTTTACTCCACTGGATTTCCTGCTGTGTTGTCAGTATTTTTAAACTAGAACTCTAAAAATGGCATTCAGTAAGTCAGATACAGGCAAGATAATGAATAAAGAACAGCTTTTTCTTTAATTTATGGCATTTTCCCTGGTGCCTAGCCTAGTTAAAGCTTAATTTCCTCACCATGTCTCAGGGTGACACAGTACCTGCTTTCTGTTCTCTGTGATATTAACTTGTTGCATCCAATTTCCAGAAAAACTGGGCCTGTTTTAACTTTGTGCATTTTGTGGCAAGCCCAGTTATTCTTAGATATGCCCCAAAAAGAACAGAGAGAGGCTTTGGAAGAGATTTCATTCCTGTCCTGTGTTTCCTTTGAGCCAGTAGCTGGCATTAGAACGTGTCTAATGTTAGAGATTTGCCCCCTAAGCTGCAGAAGGCTCCTTCCATCTCCAGTCCATGGAGGGTTTTTTGTGCAGTGCATGCTGTGTCTTGCTGCTTGTTTTGGTTTTTTGCACAGTAACCCAGGTATCTGATCATGCCCTTGCCCAGATCTGCAGTTCTGAGGCTGCAGTGCCAGGGTTCCTGCTGTGGTGCAGCCACAATAAATTCTACAAGCAGGCACTTGCCTTGCTTGTTCCTTAAAGGAAAATGAATATGAGCTTCTAACTGCATAAATACAGAGTTAAATGACCAGGATCTGTCCTGTCTGAGCTGTATCAAATCTTGTGCTTGTACCAGTAGATAAACACATTTTCATTGTATCAGGCTTAGGAGCTGGGTTGCAGCTTAATTAATCCTTAATTCTCATGGCCTGAGGTCTGTGTCTTCCTTCCACATGATGGGCAGCTCAGAGGCCAATGCAATGTCTTACATCACACTAAAGCTGTTTTAAAAAGACTTAGAGAGGTGCTGTGGGTTAAAAAAAAGGTTGTGTAATCTTAACAATCTATTTTTTAATTTTCTCCTCTTTCTCCTGTGTGTCTCTCCCTTCCCAGATTGAGTTTGTGACTGGCACTAAAAAGGGCACAACAACAAGTGCTGCTTCCACAACCACCACAACATCCAGCACCACTGTGGGAGGTAAAGAACAGCTGTGAATGCACCCCTTGAGCTGCAGTAATGCTGGGATTAGTGCTTCCTGAAGCCTGAAGGCTCCTTAGTGATCCTGTAGATAAGGCAGGGGAGTGTTTCTGCTGGGGGGTGTTGGACTAGCTCTCCTGTAGTCCCTGTAGTTCATGGTTGTCCTTCTGAAGTGGAATGGCCAGGTGGGATGGTGGAGAGACTTATTAGTGGGTCAGGAAACCAGCTGCTATCTGTGGTTGTATTCCTGGGACTGATAGATTCTGAGATTTGGAAACCCTGGAAATCATTCTCCTGCCTTGGAAACTGAGGGGAGGGGCAAAACCCACTGGAGGCTGATGAGTGTGTCCAGTGCCTGTAGCTGAGCAAGTGGGATTCATGTGCTCTGTTGAAATTCAATCTGCTTTGGGGCAGGGAGTGATCCTATCTCCTCTTTTGCTGGAGTTCAGGTCTAGAGTTCTGCTCTGACTCCTGATACCCCGAGAAAAGTTGCTTTTCCTCCTCACTGCTTACTGCCAGTGTATCCTGAAATTGGTGTGAGGGGAAGCTGTCTAGTCAGGTAGTGGGATATTAAGGGTTGACAAGACAGGGTGTTAAGAGGGGATTGGTGACCTCTAATGTATTGCTAATCCTTGTGTGCTTGTTTTAATCAAATCCACAGATGCCCAGAAGAGGAAGAGCAAGTGGGACTCTGCCATCCCCGTGACAACGATAGCTCAGCCCACCATCCTCACCACCACTGCCACCCTGCCAGGGGTTGTCACAGTGACCACCAGTGCCAGTGGCTCCAAAACCACGGTGATCTCAGCTGTGGGCACCATTGTAAAAAAGGCCAAGCAGTGACTGCTGTGCTGGGCCTGGAGCCTTGGACTTGTCACTGAAGCCACTGTCCTTGGAAGGGAGGGGTGGATTTCTCCTTTGGTAAAAGATGACAAGATTCTTTGAAGCAGCTCACAGTTCCCCTTTGGAAGGCTGGGGGCAGGAGCAGGATGCCAGCTGTGTGCCCACAGGAATGGACCTCTGCCCACCATGCCTCTGCCTTTGCTTGCTGGGGGAAGACCCAGGCTGCCTGTATTGTGCTGGAGGAAGGTGGCATCTGGAGTCAGCTTGTAAAAGTTTGCTTATTAATTGCTGCATTGAGGTCTTACCTACCTGCAAGTTTGTTTTAGGGGGGAAAAAGAAAATAAATGAAAAGGGCAAGCAGTGAAAGACTGTCAGTGTTACCCCTGTGTGTGCAGGGTGGTGCTCCAGGGCTGCCTGCAGCCTGTGTAGGTGCCTCCCTCCAGAGCCAGCTCAGCTCTGAGGGAGTTGAAGCAGAGAAAACCACTCAGTGTCCACGTCCAGATGTGTAGCAGAGACTTGAAGAAAACTCCATCAGTGAGTGTAGGCTCACTCCTTGTTCCAGCACTGACACCTGTACCCTGTGCTCTCTGTGTAGACCTTAGTGACCACGTGTGGAACTGTGGAACTCTTGAGGAAGCTGTGCTGGAACATCCTGTTACCATCTCACAGGGATGGAGATTTCTATGCAGAACCCTCAAGCTGTAGAGGTTTGATTTGTGAGCTCAGACCTGTGCAGAAACACTTCCATTGCCACGGAGTGAGGTTGGACAGAAGCAGAGCAGAGTGTCTGACCCTGTTTGTGACATTGTCCATCTTTGATTTAGCTCGTGATGTTCTGTGAATGCACACATGGCAGTTACTGCTTGCTCCACTGTTGTGAAAAAGTATTTTCAGTTGAAAATTTTGTTGAATAAAATTTGAGAAGTCTTTTTAAAAAGCCCCTGGTGTCATTGATGTGTCTGCATTTCTTCACAGTTAAATTTCTACCCAGAGCCTCTTTGTCCTAATGTACAAAGTAGTGATAGGAGAGATGGTTGCCTGATCAGCAAAAGTGTAAGTTTCTGAGAATTCAGTGGTTTGGGATTGCTTTTCCTTTTTTTTTCTGTAGCTTGTGTCAGTCCTGATCAAGACTTTGCATTTATGGAGACTTAAGGTAGAAATAATAGGTTGATATCCTGCTTGTAGACAGATAATTTTCCAACATGTTAAACACTGTCCTGGTGGTCATTTAAGCTTAAAAAAAAATAAAAATAAAAGGCATCTGTGCATCCAGGACCCCTGGAGCAGCAGCTTCCAGACTCCTGCAGTAACAGCTTCTGCTACAAGAGACCTGCAGGACTGGGCTGTTCCCTGGCAGTTCCCTCTGAATCCCAGCAGTCAGTGTTTGCTGTCTGCAGTGGAGAAAGCAGCTTGAAACAGGCTTGATTTAGGTTTGGGTTTCTTCCCCCAAAAAAGCTGAAGTGAGGATGCCAACCCCTCTATAACAAACTTGCAGCCAATAACTCAGAGGTAATAAATAGATTGATCCTCAGGTTGGAAACTGCAGTTCTGAGGGAAATGCCTTTTTCCCAGCTCTGAAAATGGCACTGGACAGGATGATGGCTTGCCCTGGGCTGTGGTCAGTCAGTGCCCCAGAGGAGCTGGAGGGACCCTCAGGCACACAGGGGAGGTGTCCTGAGGGAGGAGGATCCTTCCTGGCCTGAAACCCCAGACAGGAGCTTGGGCTGGTTTGCTTTGGAGCTGTGGCTGTGTGAGCCCTGCTGGGTGTGTCAGTGCCCAAACAGCCCTGGAGCACTGCAGCTGTGCCCAGTGTGCCCCGAGGCAAACCCAGAGCTGGCACTGAGATAAATTCCTTATGCTGCTGCAGCAGTGACTGCTCAGCTGCACTGGTGGCTCTGAGAGCTGCAGATACTCGTTCTGACCTCTCCTTCCAAAGGGATGCTAACCATACCCAGGAGAGTAAAACCAGAGTTTTTCATCATTCCTTAGTCCAAAAGTTAGTCTCTGCTCCTTGAACACCACAGGGCTTCTCTCTGCCTATCTCCTTCCTAAGCAGGGGTGTCTCATATCTCGAGGAGCTTTGTCTCAGCTGAAACTCCACGTTCAGGTCTGTGTGTCTGCCCCAGCAGAGGCAGGGGAGCTGCAGTAATGAACTCATCCTTGGCAGAGTTGGTTGTGCTCTCCCTCTCCCTTCTGAAGTCTTTTCTTCCACCTCCATGCCCTGAGGTGTTGATTTTCTCTCCCATTTGCTTGTTGTGCTTTAGAGACCTGCCCTGCTTTGATGCTGGTGTGGGAAGGGATTTTGTGTGTTCGGGACTCGCTTTTATTTTCTGTCTCCCTGGGCGCTGCTGGGCTGAGGGAGCAGGTGGGGAGGGCAGCCCTTGCCAGCCCCACCTCAAACCGTGCAATGGCAGCACCTGAAGCAATGTTTGACTTGGATTGCTGCTGCACTGTCTGCTTTAGGGGAGCTGTGCACTGAGATGAACAAAAAATGAAAGAAAGAGCCCTCCTTGCCAAGGCTTTGGGCCATGCCAAGGCTTTGCTGATGACAGCTCCAGCAGTGAGGGAGGTGATGGCTGCAGCCAACACCTGCACGAGCTCCTTTCCAGCCCTTCTCCATGGCAGGGGAGAAATCAGCTCCTGTGGAACCCCTCAAACAGGTGGGCTTTGTAATGTGCCGAGAGAGCCATCAAAGGGTATGTGCTGCTCGTTCCTGGGGAATGGTGTGAGCAGGGAAAGCCCAGAGTTGGTACCTGCAGGCAATCACAGGGTGGGTGAGGCTGGAAGGGCTGCAGTGGCCCAAGCTCCCTGCTCAGGCAGCTTTTCCTGGAGCAGCTGGCACAGGGTTGTGTCCAGACAGCTCTGGAATATCTCCAGAGAGGGAGTGAGAAACACAGATCTCCTCAGCAGGGCTCCCCAAGACTCTCTAATGTTAAATGTTCAGGTAAATAAATTGCTGTGGAGGCTCAAGACCCCCTGAAAGGGCAACAAAGTTCCACCAAAGTCTCCTCTTCCCTTTGGGGGGAGCGTTTGCCTCAGCACATTCCTGCATGGCTTTTACAGGGCAGATTTCCACCTCTGAGCCTTCCCTGCACTGCTGTTCTCTGACTGTTTATATTCCACTTCCTTCCTTTTGCTCCAAGCGAGATCCACGGACACCAATGACTTCCAATATTTGCTCTGTGTTTATTTGCTCTGTGCTGCTGGTAAACAGCAGAGCTCTGGGGTTCCACAGGGAAAGGTTTTGTGTTTTTGCATAAAGACTTGGGTGTGTGTTCAGCCCCTGGCAGCTGGGTGAGGTGCTGGCGGATCCTGGAAGGCCCTGCTGTCCCCAGATGGGTGACAGGAGTGTCCCAGGCTGATCCTTCACTGAGGTTTTCCTCTGGGGTTGTTTCTATGCCCCACTTGCCTCTTGCTGCCAGTCTGTCCCAGAGGGAAATTTTAATCAAGGATGTTCATCAGAGAGGTTTTCCTCTAGGAACATGTTCATGACAAGGAACATCTACAGGAAAACAGGGGGCACGAGTAGTTAATGCTGCCTTGGGGGAAAGGCTGAGGGAGAAAATATGGCAGGATTTCATCTGGCACTTTGAATTGAACAGGGAATTATATTAAGCACCATTTAGTGCAATAAATTATGTGCACGTTAATGTACATTAATAATACATTATTACACATTCCTTTTATTTGGGCCACATGGCAGGATATTGTCACTACAGTGTACAGTGCAGTGATGGGATTAAGTGTTTATTTTTCTTTTAGTAATGTGTGTTGTTACAGAATTTAAAAAGGAGATGAATGTGCTCCAGCCAGCAGCATTTTGGCTGTAACTGCACAATAAAGACCTAGAGAAAGCCCCAAAGCTGTCTCCAGGCATGCTGTGGTGGCAGGACAGAAAGAAGAAAGGCTCTGTTGCAAGCTGGCGTGGCATTAAAAAAAAAAAAGAAAATAATTAACCCTGAAATCACTTGTAATTATCAGGAATTGGCACTCAGACTGGTAGACAGCAGAGAGAGCAATAATTTCATGTGAGCTATAAAACTACATGTTTTTCCTCCTAGGGCAAAAATTTCTAGGCCACGTTGCCACCACAGAAGTTCACTGATTTACAAATGTGAGATTCACCACAGATGTGGCTGTGAGCTGTGGTGGAGCCCTCTGCACTGAAATCTGCTCACCCTGCCTCTGAAATCCCTGTCCCCTGTTCTAAAAAACAGCAAATTTGTGTGACAAAAGCCTGATTCAGCTGGCAGGGAAGGTATGGAACCAAGGCAAGAACTTGGGTTCAACCAGTGTTTTTCCCTAGTGGAAGTAATTTGGAGAAGTTGCCTGAAAGACAACTCATTAAACAATTAAACAACCTTTTATTTTTAAGGACAAGATGAAATTAAAACCTTTTATATTCTCATGAGTATTTACAGAAAATTTCCAATTCCTCTCTGATTTTTTGCCCTAAAAATGAGGTGGTGAAGTTGTCTTATATTGGAAAAGTGCCTTTATCAGCTCTGAAAATTTAAAAGCAGCCCAGTTACAGCTCTGAGACAACTTATGTTACGTGTGCTTGGGAATTCTTAGGTGCTGGGGGGCCATATTTCAAAGAAAGGTGCAAAATTGGTATCTTGAGCTCTTCTGGCAGCACCCAGAGGGAGCAGCTGGGAAGGCTGAAGGGAGCTGGTCCCTCCTGGCTGCTCCAGGCTGAGGGATGGAGGGGACCCAGAGGGTGTCAGGAAACCCTGGGGCTGTGGGTGACACCAGAGGTGACACCAGAGATCCTTTACAGGAGGCAGCATGAACATTCTCCATCTCAGGTGGAGAAAGGAGGACACCCAGAAAGTCAGGACACCGAGCACTGTGGTGCAAGCTGGGCTCTCATGAGCTTTTCTGGTTGGCTTCAGGATTCCTGTTAGGGATCCATCACTGAATTAACTGGGATTTTTACCGCGACGCTTCTTGCGGCCTAAATTGGCTTTTTCAATGCCGTGGCAGCATTGCTTACCTCAAAGAGGAAAGTTGCAGCAGTGGGAGCTGCTGGTGACCAGACAGGTCTGTGAGCACCAGCACAAGCTCCCCTCCCACCTTGGGAACTGAAGCCCAGTTTTAATTCATCTGCAATGTCCAGCATCTGCTGCAGCTGTGGCTCCTGAGGCAGAGCAGGACCCTCTGCCTTCAGCCCCTCCAGGGGAATGATCTGCTCTTCAGCAGCAGCTCAAGCATCAGCACTCACAGCCTGCTCCTGCTTTTTTTTGTCTCATGTTGCAGTCACTGTCTTCGTACGTTTTTTAAAAAAACAACAGCAAACCTCCCTCACTTTCAGAACCTTATTTTAACTCTAGGAAATCACATCTCCCAAAGGACTGGGGTTGCCAAGTTATGTGTTGGGAAACTCAGAAATGCCAGATTTAAACTGCCTGGGCCATCTTCCCCCAGCACCCCTGCCTGTTTCCCATTTGCTGTAGTTTATAATGACACAAACACATCCTCCTTTATCCTGGGGCTAAGGCAGTTTGCACATATTAACTTGAGCTTCCTAATTTCTTGTAGTGAAAGGAATCATGCTCCTCACCTTTCGATCAGTTCTGGAGAGCAGCAGCCTCTGTTATGCCACATTGAGCGAGGAGGGCAAAACTGCCCTGCTCATAGTCAGGCAGGAAATGTGCCATTTTCCATCTGGCTGTTGCTATTGTTTGTGTTGAAGCTCGGGGGATGCAGTTTTCCTTGTGAGGATCTATCAGGGAGCCAAAATCCAGCCTGTGCCATTGCATCTACTCCAGAACGTGTGTGCTGTGCTCTGTGGAGAGCGTGGCTGGTTCTGAGCTGTGAGCAACCCCAGGCTCCAAAGCAAAAGGGTGGTGTGGACAGGAAACCAGCCTCACCTGAACTCTAAACCCTCCTCTGCTGTTCTTTGGACTGGGGAAGGGATTTTGGATCCAGCTCAGCAGAAGGACTGCACTCAGCTGTGGGATTGCTGCTCGTGGCAGCCCTGGACCATGGTGGGATGCAGGTATGGATGGGAACATTCGTGGTGCTACAATCTTGAGGCAGATTCTCTGCAGGTGAGGAGTGCTCTGCTGTGCCCACCCCCTGGATGAAGCAGGGTGCTGACCCATCCTCCCTGCACCCAAAGCACCGAGGCCGGGCTCGGCATCTGCCGATTGTCGGGGCAGAAATTTCCCTGACATTCCAGCAAGGAAAGCTCGGAGCTCACCTGAGCTCCGAGGGTGACACCTCCCAGTGGTGCCAGGGGGGAACCGGGAGGAGAAACCCCTGCCTCGGGAGGTCGGGGAGCTCCTCAGCTCTGCCCCGAGCAGCAGATGAAGCCGAGCAGCCCCTCGGGGCTCCCGTCCCGCCGCCCTTTCCCAGCGCCGCTCCTGTGGGAGGGTCCGGAGGCTGTGCCCGCCCGGCCAGGTGTGCAGGGAGCCGGGAATGCCAGCCCTGCGTCACGGGCACCCCCTCCTCCCTCCCGCCGGGATAAAACTTCTCCTCACCTGGGATCCGAGCTCATTTGCCCTGGCAGCCCCTCGGCAGGGCGAGGCGGCAGCGAGAACAAAGCGGATTTTTGGCTGAGGGGCCGCAGGGAGTTATGAGGGATCGCGGGCGGGCTGCGCTCCCCGCCGCACCGGGACCTGACGTTTAACCGGAAAGAGAAAGGGACACAAAATAGAGAGGAGGGAGAAAGATAATTTAAAAAAAAATAATAAAAAGAAAAGAAAAGTCCAAAGCTGGAAACCAAGCGGCAGCAGCGGAGCAGCGCGCTCCCCCTCTGCCTTCGGGAGAGTTTCTCGGCTCGCTGCGCGGTGCTGCTATTCGGGCTGCGGCAGAGATTTGGACTCTGAGTCAGACCCGGCGCTAATGAGGTTTGTGGAATTAATTCATCTGCGCTCTGCAGCGTCCAGCTCGCTCCAACTTGGCTGCGTTGATGAAGCGGGCAGTGAATCAGTGCCCGGGCAGGTGGGCAGGACACGGAGCGCGGGGCGCAGCCCCTGCCCGCCGGTTCCCTCCGTTTGTCCCGTCCGGTGCCTCTGGGCTGGCAGGAAAGGCAGCGCCGGTGGCCGGGCCGGGCTCGGGGGCCGCTCGGCTCCGGGTTTGTGTGCGCGGGTGTTCGGGTGGGGGTCCGGGCTGGGACGGCCAGCAGAGCCCTTTGGGGACGCTGATGGAGCTCCGGGGGCTGCCCTGCCCCTCGGATCCAGGGGAAAGGCTGAGGGGCCTCGGAGCTGGCCCCAGGGAAAGCTCTCACGGGTGGAACGGTGCAAGGCCAGCCGGGCTATGGGTGCCTCCCACCCCCGGAGCCCACCGGGGCTGTTTTCCAGACCTGGTGGCTGCCCCTGAAAGGGGGGAGCAAGGGAAGGGGAGATCCCGGAGGAAAAGGCCAGGAGAGAGTGGGGGGTTCAGGGTGGGCTTTGCTGAACTGCTGGTGTTGGGGTGTTTGCAAATCGGTGGATCTGGCACGGACAGGGAACAGGGAAGGGGACAGGAGGGTTGGTGTGAGGGGCTGACAGGCGTGGGGCAAAGGGGGATGAGGAGCACCCACGGAGGGGAAGGAGGGAAAAGTGTCTTGAGGGGCCAAAGGAGCAGAGAAAGTGGCAGGAAGAGCACATGGAGGGAGCGGGGGGTTCAGGGGCTGGGATTTGGGCAGACCCCAGGCAGGGTCCTGCCGTTCCTGCCTCTGCTTTTTGGGGTTCCCCCCTGCCCGAGCCCGGGGGGCAGCACAGGAGATGGAACCAGAGCCCTTCATACCCCGAGGTGCTGGCACAAACAGCTCCCAGCAGCTCCATGTGGGTGCCCAGGCTGGGTCCTGCTGTGTTTGTCCCTGGCTGGAGGGTGCTGGGGCCATGTCTGGGGTCTGGGACTCAAATGGGAGCTGAAAACAACAAATGGAGACACTCACACGGAGCGTCCCAGGTGCAGGAGCACGCCTGGGGAAGGAGGGGGAATGGATGGGGAAAGATGGGGAAAGCAAACAAAACAGGACCAGGAGGATTTTGTGTGCAAGAGACAATTTGATTTGTGGGTCGAGTTTTTGGTAGTTTTGAGGAGTCTGGCTTGATAATTTCCAAGTTGTGGAGCATGGTCCCAGCAGCTCTGTGCCACCGTGTGTGCAGAGGACAGAACAGGAGCTGTGTCCCTGATCCCAGAGGACAGAACAGGAGCTGTGTCCCTGATCCCCCGGGCTGTGGCTGCTCTGCCCATCCTCAGCACACACGGACATGTGGATGGTCCTTGATGCCACGGACCAGGGTCAGTGCCCTGCACATGCCCTGCAGCCATGAACAGAGCAATTCCCACCCAAGAGAGGAAAGGCTGTGCCTGGGAGCTCCTTGCTTGGGCATCTCCCTCACTTTCCCTCTCCCGTGTCCCAACCTGCCGGGTGTCCCCCACGTGGCAGCTGGGACCAGGCTCCTGCTGTTGCTCTGTGCCTCATCACAACCTGCTCCTTGCTCTCCCATCTGCCATTCCAGCCCTGTCCTCTGTCCCATTGCACCAGTGGGGAAGGGGGAGGAATGGATGGGGGAGGCAAACAATTATTTGATTTGTGGGTCGAGTTTTTGGTGGCTTTGGGGAGCCTGGCTTGATAATTTCCAAGTTTTGGAGCATGGTCCCAGCAGCTCTGTGCCACCACATGTGCCGGGGAGAGAACAGGAGCTGTGTCCCTGATCCCCTGGGCTGTTTGTTTGGAGCATTGCCTGGGTTTTTGGGGATGAGGTACCTAGCCCCACCTTCTCCAGACTCAGGGGTTCTTGGCATATTCCTGGAGCAGGATTGTTGGCTGTGCTGAGGGGCAGGGCAAAGGCTGGGGGAGCAAGAGGAGACCAGGAGGAAATGCTGGAGCAAGTCTGGGAAATGGTAGGAAGTTTATGTGCAGCCAGGAGCTGCTCTTTCTCCTTGTTTTTGAACAACTGAATGCATTTATTTTTTGTTGTCGTTGTTGTCATGAAAACCCAACCAAATCCTGCAGCTTTCCTGAAGTGGAAGTGGCATTTTCCCTTCCAGAGGACGCTTCTGAAAGCAAGGGGTGGCCACTCCCATATTTTTGCAGGAATATTGCAGCTGCATTCCCCAGTGGCCATGCTCTGTGCCACCAGCACCCAGCAGGCTGGCATCTGCCCAGCAAAATCCTTGAAGGTTGGTGGCTCACAGGGCAGCAGAACGTTGATATTGAGCAGGGTTTTATGGCCTTTTATCTCAGCGCTTGAAAAGACGTGATGGCAATTTATGAGCCTGGGGCCCAGGGTGTGTCCATCCGCTCCTTGGTGGCTTTTTCATAGCTGGTGATTAAGGGAAGAGGCACTAGGTGCTTGTGAGCTGAGTCTGGTTCCATACTCAGTCCTTTCCTTGTGCCTCATGCCATGGTGGGATTTGCTGGGTGCTCAGGTGATGTTTTCAACTTTTCAAATGTGTTTTCCTTCCACGGGCTCTGGGGATTCCTTCCCTGCCCTTTCATCCCACCTTTACCTGGTACCTCCATAGCACTGTCCCGGGCTGGGCAGAGCAAGGGGAAAAGGGATTTTCCTGGCTTCAAAATCTGCCTGTGTCGGTAGCAAGGGACACAATATTTGCCAGAGAGTGCTGGTGTGAGGACTGTCCCTGAAGGAGGCCACAGGCACGTCCTGGGTGAGCAATGCTGGCCCCAGAGCCAGCACTGCCACAGAGCTTGGGGGGACAGGGACCCCCCAAACCTGCCACGGGCCCGACTGGGGACATGGCCTGGCTGCCAGTGTGGCACGGAGGGAAGCACAGGAGTTCCCTTGCTCAGCTGGTACCTTTACCCATGAAAAAAGCAGCTCATTGGCAGAACAGCACATTGGCCACAGGTCCTGAGGAGCAGCAAAGCTCCCCGTGGTTCCCAGCCCAAAGCTCCTGGGGTTTCCCTGCAGAGACGCTGCCCTGAGGCCCCCGTGTGTCTCTTTCAGCCCCTGGGCATTGATGGCTGTGGTGAATCCCTCTGGGCACAGCTGCCAGGATGAACCAGGGTCCTGCCAGTGGCTCTCACACGGAGCCAAGCGCAGCCGCCAGGAGCGGGGTGCTGTGCTGTCAGTGCTGGTTTGGTTGAGCCCTGTCACAGCAATTGCTGCACTCGATGTGTTCCCTGGCTGCAGAGGCCAGGTGTGATCTGCTGCTGCTGAGACCAGGCTGGGTTTTCCCTGCAGCCCAGGGATGCTGTGAGTGGCTGAGTCTCTGTGACTGCTCTGTGTGCTGGGTGTCCCTCGGGGAGCTTGGGCATCCTTACTGCCCACACAACAACTTTTCCTGTTTCCTTTCCCTGTTTCCAGTGGTTTTCTCATTCTTTTCACTTTAGAGTCAGGGCTGGCACAGCAAGAAGCTATAAGACAATTCATTCACATTTCATATTTCACAATTGCATCTACCAGGATGAGATGCTTTAATGATATCTTTACACTGTTGTTTTTTCCTAGACTGGTCTCGCTTGCCCTTGCTGGGTGTGAGGACGAGCCTCTGGCACAGCAGCTGCAGAACTCCAGTTCCAGCTTTGTGCCTTCTGTTTACCACATCCAAGTGCTGACTTCTGGATGGCACTGAGTTTTCTCAGTCACGTGTGGTGCAGGGAGAATGGTTCACTCTGTTTAGGATTTGACCTCTGTGTCCATCAAGGGGTCCTGCTGCCCTGGGCAGGACAAAGGGGATCTGCCAGGCTCTCAAAACCACAGATTCATTCAACGACTCCAAAGCTCCAAGCCTGGCATTTCCCAAGACCTCACCCTCTCTTTATTGTTGGTTTGACCATCCTGGAAACTCTTAGTGTGATAGGAAATAGCTGAAGGGAGGGGTCAGTGTTGCTTTTGGGGAGAGATATGGACAGTCGCTTTGTTTCCCTTTTTTTTTGTTTTGCTTTGTTTCCCTAACCTGCCAGGAAAAGCAATGTCTTGGCTTTGCTCACATGTGTGGAGGGTGCTGGGCTCTATCTGGGAGCCTCCTGTGCTCCAGCTGCACCAACCCCTGATGTCGAGCTGTGCACCCCAACTCCAGGCACTGGGGTGGCATTGCTGGGGATTTTGAGCCTTTTGCAGCTGCCTGAGCAGAGCACAAGCCATCCTTGGTTTGCTTTGTGCCCTGCCCTGCAGAGCTCAGCAGTTGTTTCCAGCTGGGGATGTGAGGGCTGTCCCACCCTGGCAGGGCTGGGAAGGGGCTCTGTGGAACTGCCCTGGTCATATCCAGGTCCATTTCCACCTCTTGGCTCTCTGCAATGCAGCAATCCCTTTATTTCAGGAGGAAGAGGATGAATGTGCTGCCCTGGGCGTGTGCCAGGCTGCTCCTCCTGTCCCTGCTCTGCACCACCAGCGTCTGCCAATGGAGCAAAAGTGAGTGGAGCCATGCTAGCCCTGTCTGCCACCTCCCTTGGGGACTGTGTGTACCTGTCCTGCCCCCAGAAACACCAGTCTTCATGTGGAGAGCACCTGCTGTGGGCTTTTCCTGCTGTTTTCCATCTCCCCAGTTTTGGGGACCCTCCCATGCTACCCCGCTGCTCTTTTGCAGCCACTTTCCACAAACCAGGCAAAACCTCCATTTTGCCATGGGATCAGCCTTTCTCCCACAGCTCCCTTTGTTCTCCCCACCCCTGATGCCCTGATCTTTCCTGGCAGACAACCGCTGTGTGCTGTCCCGGGCCAAGAGCTGCACCGAGTGCATCCGCGTGGACAAGGACTGCTCCTTCTGCACCGACGAGGTGAGAGCCTGCAGGGCAGCCTGGGGCTCCTCTGCCACCCTGCTGAGGGGGGATCCCACCGCCCTCACTGGGACAGGCACACAGGAGCAGGGGCAGCTGCTGGGTCCAGCTTCTCTTCCAGATGGGGAAGGCTGCAATGTGGATTTCCTTATGGGGTGGAACACAGGGAGGGAGGGGAGCCTGTGACGGTGTTCACAGGGGTCTCAGGATGAGGGAAGAGACGAGGATCTGACTCCATGTCTCAGAAGGTTTGATTTATTATTTTATGATATATATAACATTAAAACTATACTAAAAGAATAGAAGAAAGGATTTCATCAGAAGGCTGGCTAAGAAAATAATAGGAAGGAATGATAACAAAGGCAGCTGTCTCAGACTCTGTCCAAGCCAGTGATTAGTCATTAATTACAAATATCCAACATGGGCCAAACAAAGATGCACCTGTTGCATTCCACAGCAGCAGATAATCAATGTTTACATTTTGTTCCTGAGGCCTCTCAGCTTCTCAGGAGGAAAAATCCTAAGGAAAGGGTTTTTCATAAAACATGTCTGCAACAGAAGTCCAGGGCAGAATTGCAGCAATACAGGGGTTTATCAGAAAATGGCAATGCACCAGAAACTGTGTGTGCAAGGGATGGAGGGAGAGTTTTATCTCGCACAACCCAGTGACTCACTGGTGGTCACATTTCAGCTGGTGGTTCTGTGTGAGAACATCTCTCACAGGACCCATCTCTCTGCCCCTCTCCTGCTCTCAGAGGCTCCTAATGCTCTAGGCACAGGACCCTGCTTCCTGCCCTGTGTATTTCCCCCTTTCCCAGTGGATCTGGTGGTTTCTGTGGCTCTGATGCTGCTCTTGCTCCCTGGCAGAGCTTCGAGGAGCCGCGCTGTGACCTGCGGGAGAACCTGCTGCGCTCGGGCTGCGGCGAGGCCAGCATCGTGTACACCCAGGGGGAGATGAGCACACTGAAGGTGCGTGCTGGGGACACAGCCCGTGCTCAGCCTCTCCTCAGGGCTCCTTCAGCTTCCCTAGGCTCCTCAGCCTCTCCTGAGGGGTCCTTCATACTTCTCTAGGCTCCTCAGCAGGCAGAATACAAAGCCCAGATCGCTATCTATGTAGGGTCTACTCAAAAGCAATGTCTTGGCCAGCTGGGGGACCTGTGGGCCACTGGTCCTGGTCCAGGCTGGGGTGCCCTGGCAGACAAAGCAGATGTAAGCAAAATGCTCACATCCCTGTGGAGGAGGTGCCTGGCTGGACACGAGTGGCTGTGGGGAGGCTGTTGGACAGCGCATGAAGGAGGGTGATGTGCTCATCCCTGATTTGTACTTCCCACACATCTCCCTGCTCCTTGTCTCCTCCGTGTTGCACCATGCTGGAGATGGAGTCTCGGGTTGTGGTTGTTAATTGCTACCCCGAGGTGTGAGAAAGGTCTCTGTTTTGGCCTGTGCTTCCAAAGAACGACTCAGAGCTCTTCAGTTTTTGGTCTTGAAATTGTTTAATAATTCTTATCTATAAAATTTTCTTTGTGCCCAGCTGAGATCTGCTCAGCAGGGCAGACACAGGTGCTCTGACCGCCCCTGAGGTGGTGTTATCTTTTTATACTACAAACTATGTATAACATATTTACAATTACTTTCCAATACCTATCACCTATGTTAGACAATGAGCTTCTACTCTAAACCAATCCCAAAGTGCCAACATCACTGCAGAAGATGGAGACCAAGAAGAAGAAGGAGAAAGGCTGGACATGCCCGAGTTCCTCCATCTTGTCCCCAAAACCCCCATACCAAAAATCCTAAAATCTACATTTTCACCCAGTGATAATTTTATTATTATACTATTTAAACTTCTGTGACTTTCATGTCCTCATACAAAGCTGGTAATTTGTTCCACGGGTCATAATCAAACCCACAGGTGTTCTGGACTGCGTGCCAGGGTCTCCAAGCCCCCCAGTGGGGTCCTCGGCAACTCTGGACACCCGGAGGGATGTGCTGAGTTCCGACAATGGAGTCCATCCCCTCCATGTCACTCTCCTTCACAGAATTCCAGCATCAACATGTCCCTGCAGAGGACCCAGGTGTCCCCCCAGGCCATGTACATGCGGCTGCGGGCTGGTGAGGAGATGAGCTTCTACATGGATGTCTTCCAGCCCAAGGAGAGCCCTGTGGATCTCTACATCCTCATGGACTTCTCCTACTCCATGTCTGATGATCTGGACAACCTCAAAAGCATGGGGCATAACCTAGGTGAGGGCAGGGCTGGGAGGAGAGGGGAGCCTGCTCTGTGCAGCTCAGTCCTGCCTGTGGCTGCGAGTCCTCTGCCAGCACCAGGGAGAGGGATGCAGCTGGCAATGGCCTGAGAGGGGTCTGTTTTAATTAGAGCTTCTCATTATCTCTCTGCAGCCCTGCGCGGGGATGTCTCTCTGGTTCTGCAGGGATCCCCACATGCTCTGCCCTTCCAGCCCAGCTGGTGCCCCTCAGAGCTGCTCTGTGCAGGGCCTCTGGCATCCTGACCCTGCTGGGTGCTACTGCAGGAGCTCCAGTTTTGGGGCTCCAAAGGGGGTGTAGGTTTCTGCCCTATAAAAGCCCAAAGATCCTAAAAGATGACAGTTTGGGAATCTTACCTAAGAACCCACCAGCAGAGAAGATGCCCACAAAAGGACTTCTTTCCCTGGAGCAGGGAGCCCACCGGCATCTCTTTATTTATGCGTGTCCCCTTTCCTTTCCTCTCCTCCCAGCGGACTTCCTGCAAGCCCTGACTTCCAATTACACCATTGGATTTGGCAAGTTTGTGGACAAAGTCTCATCCCCTCAGACAGACATGAGACCTGAAAAGTGAGTGAGCCCCGTGGGTCCCTGAGGTGGGAGCAGAGGGAGTGGGAAGTGCCTTCTGTTTCTCTGTGGCTTTCACTGAGCAGTGCAAGAGCCTCCATCCATCTCTCAGCCTTCACTGCTGGTGTCCTCCCTGGTCTCCCCATCCCTCAGGGCTTGCTGTAGCACTGTGACAATGACAGCAGTGTCATCCTCTGCTTTCACACCTTCCTTGCTCTGCCACAACAGACTGCTCATCTTGTCTTCTCCTCTATCTCTGCCCTCATCCTTCCCTGTTCTGCCACAACCAACTCATCTTGTCTCCTCTATCTCTGCCCTCCTCCCTCTCAGTGCTGGTGGCTGAGCTGCTCAGCTCCACGGCTTCCCTTGAGGGACTCTCCCCACCTTTCCTCTCCCTGCGCCCCGGCATCCCTTGGCTCCTGGCCCACACGGGAGCCCTGGTTCCATCTGTCCTAGGCTGCGTGAGCCCTGGCCCAACGCCGACTCGCCGTTCTCCTTCAAGAACGTCATCCGCCTGACCGGCAACATCAACCACTTCAGCCAGGAGCTGCGCAAGGAGCGCATCTCGGGCAACCTGGACCCCCCCGAGGGCGGCTTCGACGCCATCCTGCAGACAGCTGTGTGCAAGGTGAGCGTGGCCAGGGCTGTGCTTTTAACCAGTGCTGTCTCTGTCCCTCTGGGAGCCTCTCAGGAGCCCTCGGCTGTGACCGTGGTCACAAGGGTCTGCAGGATGAGAGAGAGGCGAGAATGTTGATTCCATGATCAGAAGGCTTGATTTATTATTTTATGATATAACATTATGACTGTACTAAAAGAAATAGGAGGAAAAGTTCTCAGAAGGCTAGCTATGCTAAGAATAGAAAAGAATGAATAACAAAGGTCTGTGTCTCGGCAGAGAGCGAGAGCAGCTCTGCCGGGAGTGGTCAGTAAATCCAAACATCCACAGGAGACCAATCACAGATCCACCTGTTGCGTTCCACAGCAGCAGATAACCACTGTTTACATTTTGTTGCTGAAACTTCTCAGCTTCAGCAGGAACAATCCTAAGGAAGGATTTTAATGAAAAGATGTCTGCGACACTCAGCCAGTCCCGAGCTGGCAGACACCGGGGGTGCAGCCCCAACACGGCCAATAGCAGGGAGACACTCTCTGTGCCCCGAGGGTTCTGTGCCCCGTGCCCTGAGGATGCTGAGGGCTCCTGGGCTGGTCACTTTTGCAGCACAAGAGACACCAGAGACATCGGTAGAAGATAAAGGGCTGACTCTTAGCAGGGGTTAATCCAAGGTTTTATTCAGGGGCTCTGGGGAGCTCCTGCACCTTAGGGGGCTGTGATGGTGTTCACAGGGGTTCTTGGATGAGGGAAGAGAGAGAATGTTGACTCCATGTTTCAGAAGGCTTGATTTATTATTTTATTATATATATTACATTAAAACTATGCTAAAAGAATAGAAGAAAAGGTTTCATCAGAAGGCTAGCTAAGCTAAGAATAGAAAGGAATGATAACAAAGGTTTGTGGCTCAGACAGAGAGCCCGAGGCAGCTGGGCTGTGATTGGCCATTAATTAGAAACAACTCTATGAGACCAATCACAGATGCACCTGTTGCATTCCACAGCAGCAGATAATCAATGTTTACATTTTGTTCCTGAGGCCTTTCAGCTTCTCAGGAGGAAAAATCCTAAGGAAAGGATTTTCCATAAAAGACGTCTGTGACAGGGGGCCTCCCACTGTCACAGGGAGATGTGCCAAGGTTACATTTAAAGGGAGGTGGAAACCCAAAGTAGAGAACATTTTACTAACCAATTAGTGACCCTAAGGGATGGGTACTGGGGGATGGACATTTAGGACAGCGTATGGGACAAGGCTTGGGGGCTGACCCCTGGCCTCTGGCTGATCACTGGCAATCTGGACCGAAGCTTCTAGATGGAGGGATGGGATGCTGAGTGATTGACAGAGAGCCAGGGTGGGGGTTTGGGGAAGATCTCAGCAAGAGAGAGGGATTACACAGGTAAAGGGAGGGGGGTACAGTCTCGGATAAACCATTTGGGAAAAATACAGGGATACAAAACAAAACTACTTCAAAATATTACAAAGTATGAAAACACACTACAACAGGGTGGCTCTTCCTGATGCCCACTGACGAGCAGAAGAGCCATTCTCCAGGCACCTGACAGGGCAGCCAGGGAGCCCTGGCTCAGCTACAGCTGGTTCTTGCCCTCCCAGCCACACGCTCCCAGTGCCAAGCTGTTTTGCATTCCCAATTTTCCCTAAGCCTTAGAATATATGTCCTGGTGTTTGATGCCCAGCAAGGAGCTGCTTGCTGGGAACCCTGTGTGTGCTCTTTGCTCTGTCCCCTCCACGCCTGCGGTGATGAAACTCTGCTCCCTGGAGGGGAGCCCAGTTGGGCTTGGCTGCTTGGCTGAGGGATGAGCGCAGCTCCAGACACGTCCAGGGAGGCGTGGGCTTGCCCCCTGTACACACATGGGCCTGGCACCGAGCTGCTGGGCGGGAGACACCCCGTGCTTTGGGGTGTGGGTGGCTGCTGGGATTCCTGGGGACACGGGGCTGGTTGTGTTTGCTGCCAGGTGCAGGCGGTGCTTTGTCCCTTGGGTATTCCAGCTCCTGTCAGCGCTGGCTTGCCAAGGGCTGCAAGTGCCGTGCAGGGGTTTGGGAAGCACAGGGATAAAGGTTCCTTCTCCCCCTCCCTGGCTGCAGGATAAGATTGGCTGGAGAAAGGACAGCACTCACCTGCTCGTGTTCTCCACCGAGTCTGCCTTTCACTATGAAGCTGATGGTACCAACGTCCTGGCAGGGATCCTGGCGAGGAACGACGAGCAGTGCCACCTGGACAGCCACGGCACCTACGTGTACGACACCAGGCAGGACTATCCCTCAGTGCCCACCCTCGTGCGCCTGCTGGGCCAGCACAACATCATCCCCATCTTCGCCGTCACCAACCACTCCTACAGCTACTACGAGGTGAGGAGGGCACGGCAGTGATGGCACGAGGGATTGCCTTTCCTCCAGGACCTCTGGACACAAGGGATTGCCTTTCCTCCAGGACCTCTGCCTCAGCTCCGCTCTGAGGAGAAAGTGTTCTCCCATCGCTTGTCCCCAAGTGCCAAATCAACACCTCAGTATTTGGGAGGGTTTCACACTGTGTTGGGGGCTGCTCTAGGTTGTGGGAGGTCTCAGGGTGCATTACTGGGTGCAGGAATCCAGGCTCCTAGACGTCTCCCTGTGTTGGTTTCTGTTTCTTGTAAAGCAGGGGAGGCACAGAGCTGGAGAGTAATGTAGGTTGGAGGGGACATTTGGAGGTCTCAAAGCAGAGCCCACTCCCATGACAGAGGAGGGTTCTCAAGGCCTTGGCTCAGGGAGCTCCTGTCTCTCTGCAGAAGCTGCACAAGTATTTCCCCATCTCCGAGATCGGGGTGCTCCAGGAAGACTCTTCCAACATCGTGGAGTTGCTCCGCACAGCCTTTGAGGTACCGCTGCTCTCTGGAGCTTCCCCCTGGCTCACAGGGAGGGCAGGGGAGCAGGCAGAGGGCAGGGGGGCAGGCAGAGGGCAGGGGGGCAGGCAGAGGGCAGATGTGGCCCTTCTGGAGCAGGCCACGGGGTGGTCACAGGTACTGCTGAAAATCCACGTTGTGTTTATGCTCTGACACCCAGCGCATCCGCTCCAAGATGGACATCCGGGCTGACTTCACCCCCAGAGCACTGAAGACAGAGTTCACCTCCCCAGAATTTGAAAAGACAGAATCTGGCTCCTTCCACATCACCCGTGGAAAAGTGGTAAGTCCTCGGAGGGCAGCGGAGGGAGGGCACCTGTGAGGGGGTGAGCTCTCCGTGTCCAGCAGAGCTGGCTCATCCCTGCAGTGTGTCCCTTCCTTCAGAGCAAGTTCCAGATGCACGTGAAGGCTCTGGAGTACATTGGAGGGCAGCACGTCTGCAGCCTCCCCGAGAGGGACCGGCACGGAGTCATCCACGTGAAGCCCACGTCCCTGAGCGACAGCCTGACCGTGTCCACTGCCGTGGTCTGCGACGTGTGTCCCTGTGAACAGGTGGGGTCACGCACTGAGGGGTGCTCCTCCTGCCAGCCCGGGGTGGGAATGTGCTGGCTGATGCATGGGGGTCCTGCTCGACCCCTCAGCGATGCTCAGCCTGGCCAAGATCTCCATCACTGCCTGTTCCCACCTCGGTGTGATGTCCTATGGTACAGCTTAGTCTTCAGGGCAAAACTTTGCCTTGGCATCTGCCCTTCTGATTCCTGAAATGGTCTTGGGGACAGCTGGGCCCTTTCAGCAAAGCCTCTTCTCTCTTCACTTCCAGCAACAAGAGTTGGACTCGCCCAAGTGCAGTTTCCACGGGAACTTTGTGTGCGGGCAGTGCATCTGCCACCCGGGCTGGTAAGGACCGTGTCCAGAGCCACCACCCTGCGATGTGCGGGGACCCGCGGTGACACACTTTGTGCCACGGGCACCCTGCCCAGGACCTGCTGTGCCGCGCTCTGCTCCGGCCTCTCTCAGCGCCACCTCTGTCCCCAGGCGAGGGGACACCTGCGACTGCTCCCCGGCGTCCTCCCCCAACAACGAGGGCTGCGTCCGGCCCGGGGATGCGGAGCCGTGCTCGGGCAGGGGCGAGTGCCTGTGCGGCAAGTGCCAGTGCTACTCCGAGGGACACAGCCCGCGCTTCGACGGCGCCTTCTGCGAGTTCGACGTCCTGCAGTGCCCGCGCACCTCCGGCTTCCTCTGCAACGGTGAGAGACCCCCAGATGGGATGGATGGATGGATGGATGGATGGATGGATGGATGGATGGATGGATGCGCTGGGCCTGGGGGCACAGACAGGGTGTCCTGGCACGGGGGGTTGAGTTACCAGTGTGGTGTTTGTGAGGGTCCCCAGGATGACAGGATGAGGTGAGAGATGAGGAATCTGTCTCCATGTTCTCAGAAGGCTGATTTATTATTTTAAAGAATGCTATATTTATATATATATAAATATATATAAAAATATATTTTATATATATAAATATATTTTATATATATAACTATATATATATAAAATGAATAAATATATATTTAATATATATATTAAAGAATGTGATGCTAAAACTATACTAAGAAAGAGAAAGGATACATCAGAAGATTTAACAATAATGAATGATAAAAATTTGTGACTGCTCAGAGCCTCAACACTGCTGGACCATGACTGGTCATTACTTTAAAACAATTCACATACTGGGTAAACAAGGACACATCAGAAGGCTTAACAAGAATGAGTAATAAAAACTCGTGATTCCTCAGAGCCTTGACACAGCTGGACCATGACTGGTCATTAATTTAAAACAATTCACATACTGGGTAAACAATGCCCAGATCACATTTCAAAGCAGCAGAACAGGGAGAAGCTGAAACTTCTCAGCTTCCCAGGAGAAGAAATCCTGGCGAAGGGATTTTTCAGAAAATATCACAATGATGGGCTGCAGGGACTCTGCGCTTGCAGAAGTGCAGGGAGGATGCTGTGCAGCCCCTTTGTAGCCCCAAGGGAAGGGGCCAGCCCGGGGCAGGGCAGGGGGAATGGCCCAGCCCTGGGGCCCCGGCAATCCCCGTTCTCCCCGCAGATCGTGGCCGCTGCTCCAGGGGCGCCTGCGTGTGCGAGAGCGGCTGGGAGGGCCCGGGCTGTGAGTGCCCCACCAGCAACGACACCTGCATCGACAGCCGGGGGGTAGGTCCGGTCCTGCCCCATCTCCCGGGCAGGGCTGCCCCTGTGCTGGGATCTCTGGGGCTCTGAGGGGCCCTCCTGGCTCTCAGTGCCCCTCTCAGGCTGTGGCTCTTCCCTCCCAGGGCATCTGCAATAACCACGGCAGGTGTGAGTGTGGCAGGTGCATCTGTGACATGGCTTCGCTGTACACCAGCTCCACCTGTGAAATCAGCTACTCCCTGGTGAGTCCCTCCAGGTTCATCGTTTATTCCCATGCAGAGCCTCCAGGGAAGAAAGGCAGAGCAGTGATGAAGGCACATCTCGGTCCGGAACAAAATCCTGGGCAAGAGTTTGTCTCACCTGTCCTGTGGCCAGGAAGGCCTGGCATGGGAGCTGCTTTGCAGCCACAGGCTTTCTTTGCCCTGCTGTTCACCAGCAGCAGCCTTTGAGAGTCTGTCTGTGTTTATCTGCACCCTGGTTTGAGGCTCAGCTTGTGGCTTGCTCTGATTTGCCTGCATGCATCAGTCACAGACTGGTTTGAATTGGAAGGGACCTTCAAGCTTATCTCATTCCCACTCTCCTGCCATGGGTGGGGACACCTTCCACTGGATCAGGTTGCTCAGGGCCCCACCCAACCTGGCCTTGAACATGTTTAGTTTGCCCATTGACAAACATGAGCTAATCCTACAGTAGGGATGGAGAAAGCTGGCTTGGTCACGTTTTGGAAAGGCCACTGAAACCCTTGGAGAAGATCTAATTGCTGCCCAAATGCAGGCTGTTGGTGTAAGAGATTTTGGAGCCAGCTGGGCTTATAAATCCTTCATGAGCTGCTTGTTGTCAGTGACTTTTCTTTGTGACCTGGACCTTGCCCTGACTCTGGGATGAGGAGCTGCCTCTCCAGCTCTGCCCTTCAGAGTCTGTGTCCCCCCTGCTCCTGGGGGTGTCCCTGACCATACCACCCCCTGTGCCCAGGGCTTCCAGGCCGTGTGTGAGAGCATCCGGGACTGCGTGCGCTGCCAGACCTGGGGGACCGGCAACCTGAAAGGGAACTGCAGCTCCTGCCACCTGCAGATCCAGATGGTGGAGGAGCTGAAGAAAGGTACCGTGAGAGGCAGAGCTGGGCACAGCCACGTGTAGTGTGTCCTGTGTGCCCTGCTCCGTGTGGGTGTGCATGCAGGGCTGCTCCCCAAGGCTTTCCTGGCCCTGGTGACCTCACACCCATGTCCCCTGTCCCCACAGAGGAGGCTGGTGAGCACTGCTCCTTCCAGGATGAGGATGATGACTGCACCTACCACTACACGCTGGAGGGAGACCCCAGCGTCCTCCCCAACACCACTGTCCGTGTGCAGAAGAATAAAGGTGAGCAGGGCCCTGGGAGGAGCAGGGGCTGTCCAGCCTGGGGATGTCCAGCAGGGCATGTCCAGCCTGGGGCCTGGATCACAGTGACCACCTCCACGGTGCCCCCAGTCCCTGCTTTGTCCCTTTGCTGTGCCCCTGGGCAGGGCCTCCCTGCCCGCCTTGCTGGGTGACACGGGTGGGTGACACTGCCTGTCCCATGAACTGCCAGGGGTGGAACGTGGCACCCTCAGGGAGACCTTTACAGATCAGAGCCTGCCATGGGCAGGGATTGCTGCAAGGCGCTGCAGCCCTTTGGCATGGCTGGGTGTGACAGGGGTGTGATACCCTCCCTGAGCAGCATTTCTCAATGTGAGGCATTGCCAAGGTTGACTGGGCTGCTGCATCCCTCAGAGGGATGTTCGCCCGCCTTTCCCCTCCCTGCACACCCCACACGGGGCTGAGGCCTGCAGGTGACATTGCTGCTGTCACTTGCAGAGTGCCCCCCTGGGAGCTTCCTGTGGCTCATCCCACTGCTCATCTTCCTCATCCTGCTCCTGGGGCTGCTGCTCCTGCTCTGCTGGAAGTTCTGTGCCTGCTGCAAGGTGAGGGTCTCAGCTGGCTTCCCCAGCCCAGGGGGAGAACCAGATATGGCCAAAACCATGACAAATTTCCAGAATTCACCCAGCCTCCAGCATGGCCAGGTTCTCAAAGGATCCCTTTGGCATCCAACTCTCTACTGTTGCCAGCATGAGCTGTTGGTGAAATTTTAGTCAGATTTCCCCCCATCTAGCTAAAACCAGCTTGAGAGCCCCTCCACCCACTGCCCACACATCCCTGCTGGTGTGGATCCTCCCTGATGGAGACTTGGGGGGAGGTTTTGTCCTTGGTCACAAAGTGATTGTGATAGTGGGGCCCTGGAAAAATGTTAAAGATAGACTCTGAAAAGGTTAGGCTTTGTCTTTTGCCAGATCATGTGAAATTGCACCTGCAGAAGCAGTATGATAAATTATATAACTGTTAGATGTGATGATTGTTTAGTAATTAAATATAATTATTGTATAATCATAAGAAGAATCATGAGAAACTATGTTAGAAGTTTGAGGGGGGGTCCACAAGGAGCCCATGCTTGGCTGAAATCTATGTATACAATAGAACAATATAAGTTTAATAATTAACATGGAAGTTATATAACGATAGAATATAAAAACATGTTCATCCTGAACCCATATCAGAGTCAGATTTGGGTTGGTACCCCTGACACCCAGAGCTCTTCAATAAAAGCACCCACATATAATAATTTTTGTGATTATGTGTTTCTCAACACTAACAATTGTGTCTCTGGCCGTTTGTTTTCTAGGCTTGCCTGGCCCTGCTTCCCTGCTGTGCACGAGGTACCAGCCCTGGGTCCTGGGGGAGGCTCTGGGGTGGGACAGTGTTCACAGGGGTCTCAGATTGAGGGAAGAGATGAGGATCTGACTCCATGTTTCAGAAGGCTTGATTTATTATTTTATGATATATATTATATTAAAACTATACTAAAAGAATAGAAGAAAGGATTTCATCAGAAGGCTAGCTAAGAATAGAATAAGAAGGAATGATAACAAAGGCTTCTGTCTTGGACAGAGTCCAAGCTACCTGACTGTGATTGGCCATTAATTAAAAACAACTAACATGGGCTAATCAAAGATCTACCTGTTGCATTCCACAGCAGCAGATAACCATTGTTTACATTTTGTTCCTGAGGCCTCCCAGCTTCTCAGGAGGAAAAATTCTAAGGAAAGGATTTTTCATAAAAGATGTCTGTGACACTGGGGTGCGCTGTGTCCTGGGTTTGGGGTGTGCTGGGGCGAGCATCCCTCCCCTCTGGGCTGCAGGGGTGGATCAGGGAGAAGGCTCCTAGCAGAGAGCCTGAGCCAAGGAGTTCTGGAGCTTCTTCCCTGCCCCACACCCTGATGTGAGAAATGGATATGCAAAGGATTTTCAAAATATATCTGTGTGCAAATACTGAGATAAGGTGTGTTGATTTAGGAAGGCTATGGAATAGAGATGACATTGTTGAAAGAGATTGAACTAGAAATAAGTTTCAAAATATGTCTTTATAAAAAGACTAAATAGTTTAGAAATTAAAACTGTTAAAGATTGGAATAAGATTACATGGAGTAAAAATAGAAGTGATTGGTGTTAGAAGTAGTAGCAACATTGCATAGTAAAAGTTAATAGGCTGAAAAACATTAATAACATTATAACTAAGAAATTAGCTTCTGATAGAATGGCATTGAGTTTTACATCTCTCATGTCTCACCCTTCATCGAGACTGATAATAGAATAAAATCTTTTCAAACACCTCCCAGTTACCCCATCTCTATAAAGGCTAAAACCCAACACCTGGGATGTCCCACTGCTGGCTCTCCCTGACCTGTAATGCTCAGGGGGTGAGATGTGTTCTCCCCACCCCTGGGCACCCCTTTCTCCTCTATCCTTGGAGGAGATCATCCAGGAATGGAGAAGAAAGGGGTGCTCAGGGATGGGGAGACCCCTGCATCCTCATCCCCTGCTGGCACCCCAACCCCTGGGTGTGATGGAACTCTCAGCGTCCCCCAGCACTCTGGAGGAGAAAGGAGTGCTCAGGGATGGGGAGAACATGGGGACACCCCTCCATCCTCATCCCCTGCTGGCACCCCAACCCCTGGGTGTGATGGAACCCTCAGCATCCCCCAGCATAGAACCTGCGGAGGAGAAAGAGGTGCTCAGGGTGGGGAGACCCCTCCATCCTCATCCCTTACTGACACCCCAACCCCTGAGTGTGGTGGAACCCTCAGCATCCCCCAGCACAGAACCTGTGGAGGAGAAAGGGGTGCTCAGGGATGGGGAGAACATGAGGAGACCCCTCCATCCTCATCCCCTGCTGGCACCCCAACACCTGGGTGTGATGGGACCCTCAGCATCCCCCAGCACGGAACCTGTGGGGTGGTCCCGGTGTGCCCGGGCTCTGAGCCGCCCCTGGCCCTGCAGGTCGCACGGTTGGCTTCAAGGAGGATCACTACATGCTGCGGCACAGCCTCATGTCCTCCGAGCACCTGGACACGCCCCTGGTGCGCAGCGGCTCCCTCAAGGGCCGGGACACGGTGCGCTGGAGGATCCACAACAACGTCCACAGGCAGGGCGTCGCCTCCCCTGCTGCCGCCAGCCCCAAGGAGCTCGGTGAGTGTCCCCAGCCTCCAGCCTCTGCCTGGGGCGTGTCTCCGACCGAGCGGGACGGAGATGGATTTGGGGATTTCTCTTTGCAGTTCCCTACGGGCTGTCCCTGAGGCTGGCCCGGCTCTTCACGCAGAACCTGATGAAAGCGGACACGCGGGAGTTCGAGCAGCTGCGCAAGGAAGTGGAGGAGAACGTAGGAGCCCTGGGCACAAGGGGGGCTTGGGGTGGCCTTGGGGACAGCCACAAGGGGGCTTGGGCAGGGCCCCTTCCCTGGGAACACACAGCTGTGCAAAGGAAGGAGCAGTTTTTCTTCCTTTGTGAGAATGCACAATTATTAAGGTCATGACTGGAAGAATTGGCAAAGCGTCTCGTGGAGATTCTGGGTTTGCTTTGGGGCATGAGATCTGAAGCTCCTGTTGGCTTCAATTTGCAGCCTCTTGCCGTGTCCTGGGATGAAATGGAATTTTTCTTCTTTTGTGAGAAAGCACAATTTTTAAGGTCATGATTGTAAGAATTGGCAAAGCATCTTGAGGAGATTCTGGGTTTGCTTTGGGGCACGCAACCTGAAGCTCCTGTTTGGCTTCAATTTGCAGCCTCTTGCCATGTTCTGGGATGAAACCTGGTGAGGGAGGAGGGCCTGGGGTGGTCAGAAAGCTCCTGTGTGTGGTTGCAGCAGCATCTGCTCAGTGAGAGATACACTGTGAATCTTGTCCCTCTTGCTCCTTGCAGCTGAACGAGGTTTTCAAGCACATTCCTGGCTGCCACAAGGTCCAGCAGACCAAGTTCAGGTGAGTCAGAGGGGGAGAGACTCCTGCAGGACAGGGTTCCCCCAGGGCACTGCTGATGATGGGGTGGACCAGAGAGCTGGGGTGTGAAATCTGCGATGCTGGTCTGTGAGACAAGCCTGGTGTGGTGCTTCACCCACCCAGGGCTGCAGAGCAGAGCCCACCCAGCTGTGGAGGAGATCTCAGCTGAGTTTGGCTCTAGAGCAGCAGGACAAGTCCTGGTTGCATGGTGCTCAACGGGAGAATCCCCACTGGCTTCCAAAGTTTCAGCCTGGTGCAAGCTTAGGAGTGCCTGGTGCAGGCTGGGAGGAATTTGGGGATGCCAGTGCTGGGCAGGGAGTGGCATCTCCTCCCCACAGCCCGATCCAGATGTGGTCTCCCCTATGGGCATGTTCCTTGGTGCGTTGGGAAACCCAGGGCAGGAGAGAGCAGCTGGGCAGGAGGGAACATGTGCTGGGGCTCTGTGGGATGGGTTGGCACCCGCAGGGCAGTGCTGCAGCTCAGGCCTGCACAGGGCCGTGATTCACACAGCACTTTGTCTCTCCAAAAGTGTTAGTCACTCTGATTTGGGTTTGGTTTTTTTATTCCCCCAGGTTACAGCCTAATTCTGGGAAAAGGTAAGAGGAATTTGCAGCTCTCTCTGGTGCAGCTTCTCCCTCTTTGCACAGACACGTGTGGGGTGACTGAGTGCCCCACACACTCACTGGCCCCCAGCTGCTGTGTGAGATGAGTTTGCCTGGTCCCAGCTCTCACCTGCCCTTCCCTCCCCGCCCCCAGGCAGGATCACACCATTGTGGACACCGTGCTCACTGCCCCTTACTCAGCCAAGCCAGACATCATCAAAGCTGTGGAAAAACACGTTTCCCACGAGGCCTTCAATGACCTGAAGGTTGCACCGGGTTATTACACTGTGACCTCAGACCAAGGTAGGGAGCAGAGCCAGGTGCTGGCCCCTGACTGGGTACAGGGGTTATTTCCCACCTCTCACCCTTGTCTTTTCCCCCAGATGCTCAGGGAATGGTGGAGTTCCAAGAGGGCGTGGAGCTGGTGGACGTCCGTGTGCCCCTCTTCATCAGGGATGATGATGATGATGAGAAGCAGCTGCAGGTGGAGGCCATCGAGGTCCCCAATGGCATCGCAAAGATTGGGCGCAGGGTTGTCAACATCACCATCATCAAGGAGCAAGGTGAGGGGCTGTGAGTGTGAGGTGTCCGTGTGTGAGTGTGAGGGGTCTGTGTGTGAGTGTGAGGTGTCCGTGTGTCCCCTGTGAGGGGTCTGTGTGTCCCGTGTGAGGTGTCTCTGTTTGAGTGTCCTGTGTCCCAACTGATGTGGTCTGTAAGGCACTGTCTGCGTTATCTGGGCAGCCCCAGGTCACAGACTTGCTTGGTGGCTCCTTCCTGAAGTCACCTGGGTCTAAACTGGAGCATCCTTTAATGCATCCAAAGGAGGGTCATCTTCCCTGCTGACACAAACATTTGACCATCACCAGTTTAGATGCCAATTCCTTGACAGATTAAGGGCTGACCGCATTCCTCTGCTGCTCCAGTTCACTGAGTGCTGGTGTGAAGCAGAACCTCTTTGATGTTATTGTGCTGATGTCCCCAGCACTTTCCTTCTGCTTCCCACCTGGCTGTTAAGAGCAGGGAGCCCAAATGGAAAGTGGGGAAGTCTCCAGCCCATGGAATGTTATTTCATGCACGATTCACACCTGTGGGTGACTGGAACTCTGTTCAGGGAGGACACCTGTTTGGGATGTGATTCTTTGTGTGTTTTCTCTACACATTCCTTCTCTCCCGCCCTCTCCAGCCAGCAGCCTCATCACGTTCCTGCAGCCAGCCTATTCCCACAGCCGCTTTGACAAGCTGGCCAAGATCCCTGTCCTCAGGGAGATCATCGACAACGGGAAATCCCAGGTCACCTACAGGACCCGGGATCTCACCGCCAAGAACGGCAGGGTAAGGGTGGAGCTCCTGCCTTGGCAGGGAATGCAGGGCTGGGAAAAGGCCAGCCCTGGGGTGCAGAACAGGAGTTATCAGCACATGGCTGGGCAGGGGGGACCCATGGCTTGAGGTCAGCACAAGGGTAAACTTTCTTCTCCATCCCTTGCTTCCTCGGGGAGGGAGGACCTGAGAGGGTGTCTGTGCCTGAGGCAGAGGGTACCAGCTGCCCCTGGAGCTGTGGGCACCGGGAGGCAAATGAGGATTGACTAGGGGATGGGAGGAAGCTCTTTGGGAATCTCCTCATGGATACTGCAGGCTGTAATCATAGAATTCTAGAACAGTTTGGGTTGGAAGGGACCTTATAGACCATTTCATTCCAACCCCTGCCATGGGCAGGGACACCTTCCACAAGGCCAGGTTGCTCAGAGCCCCATCCAGCCTCACCCTGAACACACCTCTTCCTTCTCCTCCAGGACTACCTCTTCACGGAGGGTGAGCTGGTCTTCCAGCCTGGGGAGACCCGCAAGGAGGTGCAGGTGCCCTTGCTGGAGCTGACAGAGATCGACACCCTCCTCAACAACTGCCAGCTCAAGCAATTTGCTGTCGACCTCCTGCACCCCAAGTACGGCGCCAAGATCGGACGCTACCCCCAGACCACGGTGACCATCGCTGACCCAGGTAGGGGCTGCAGCTGGGCAGCGGCAGCGGGGGCCGTGGGGCCTCCTCCCCAGGCCAGCCCAACCCGGTGCGGTGCACAGAGTTCCATCCTCGCCCAAAAAGCCGCAGCGAGGCCCCTCCAGCTCCAGCCGGTAGATTTGGGTCCCCCTCTAGAGGCACGAGTGGGAATAGTCAGTGCGTGGGGAGAGGATGGATCGTTTCCCTCGGTAAAGGAAATAGAACGGACCCTTAATTCCTTTTCCTTGGGAAATTGGGTGAAAAGCCATAAAAATAAGAGACAGGTAGGATTTGCCATGAACGGTGCGTGGTGATTCCTGTGGCTGGACAAGGAAAACTGTCATCAAGGGGGTCAATAACATAAATAATATATTTTTCACAGCATGGCAGGGCAGTGCTGAGAGAGACATGCTTCCTTCTTTTTCACCCAAGGGGTAGGACTGGCACTGACATGAACTTTCTTGTCTGCAGAGCTGGTGGATGGTGTCCCCCCGATGACAGGCCTGGCCCAGGTCCCCCAGTCCCCCAAAGGCCGCCTGGGTGCACCACTTAATCCCGACGCCCGTGCCCTCAGCTCCAGGGAAATCAGCTTCAACTGGTTTCCTCCACCAGGAAAACCCCTGGGCTACAAGGTAAGGGGTGAATGGATCCCAGGGAAGAGTGTGGGTCCCCTCCTGCAGGTGTTTCACCCAGACATTTGTACCAAAGGGGTCCAAGTGCACACCCAAAGGAGGGAACAAGTTCACCCCTCCTGGTCCCCTCCATCCTTGAGGGACCATTGCTGGTGGATGAGAGATATGCAAGAAAGATTCCTGGTGGGTTCATCTCCAGTACCATCACTTATCATGAAGTGCCCAGACTGTCCTGGCCTCCCATTTCGGAGGAATGGCCCTCCACCATTCCCAAAGCTGGTTTAGTAGGACACAAGGAATTTCTCAACCATCATGCGAGGTTCTGAAGGAATCATGGCTTGCGCTTGCTTTGCCAGGTGAAATACTGGATGCAGGGAGACCCTGAGTCAGAAGCCCATCTCATTGATGTCAAAACCCCATCAGCAGAGCTGACCAACCTTTACCCCTTCTCCGACTATGAGATGCAAGTCTGTGCCTACAACGCCATGGGAGAAGGGGCGTACTCGGACATCATCCGCTGCCGCACGCTGGAGGAGGGTGAGTGACCCTCACCTTCCTGCCCTGAATGTGGGAGCAGGCTTGTCCCTCTGCCCCCAGCACCAGGGGGAGGGTGAGTGACCCTCACCTTCCTGCCCTGCACCTGGGAGCAGGTTTGTCCCTCTGCACCTGTCGGGATCTCTAGCTTATCAGAGAGACTCCAAGAAGAGTTTGAAAGTCTCTTTTCCCAGCCTGGCGCTTGAAGAATGAGTCAGGGCTCTTCATTTCTCAGTCTCAAGGTTGTTAATTGCATCTTATCTATAAAATATTTTCTTCTGCCCTGCCGAGGTCTGTCCAGCAGGATAGTTCCAGGCACTCTGCCTGCCCCCAGGGCGGTGTTATGTCTTTATACTAAAAACTACATGTACAATATTTACAATTGCTTTCCAATACCTATCACCTATGTTAGACAGTGAGCTTCTACTCTAAACCACTGTAAGTGCCACCATCACAGCAGAAGATGGAGGCCAAGAAGAAGGAGAAAGGCTGGACATGCCCAGTTCCCTCCATCTTGCCTCCTGAACCCCCATACCAAAAACCCCAAAATCTACTTTGCCATCCCACGATAACTTCACTATTATTCTACCTAAACTGTATGGCTTGCAGATCTTCACCTAAGGCTGGTAATTTGCTCCAAGGGTCATAATCAAAACCACAGGTGTATTGGGCTCTGTGCCAGGGTCTCTGAGCCCCCTGGCAGGGGTCCTGGCCATCCTGGACAGCCAGAGGGATGTCCTGGGTCCTGACATGCACCCAGCACCGGGGGCACGGCTCCAGCCCTGAGCTTCTGGTGCTCTCAGGGCCAAGCCCTGAGTGTCTCCCACCACAGCCCAGCTGTGATCTGGGGAACTCTGGGTTCCTGACTCATGGGCACCCTTTGGTTTTGCCTCCCCAGTGCCCAGCGAGCCCGGGCGCTTGGCTTTCAACGTCGTGTCTTCCACGGTGACCCAGCTGAGCTGGGGTGAGCCCGCAGAGACCAACGGGGTGATCACAGCCTATGAAGTCAGCTATGGCCTGGTCAATGAGGACAATGGTAAGAGCTCGTTTTTGGATGGGACAGTCCAGCTGGGCTGAGGGGCTGGAGGACGCTTCCTGCAGGCTGGGCTGGTCCCAAACAGCAGCAGCAGAGCCAGAGCAGATCCAAGCATGTTTCTTTTGAGAACTGGGGTTTGGATGGGTCCCTTCTTGATGGAAAGAGCACAGAAAAATGACCAGTCAGGATTTAACTCTGCAAATTCCAAAAATCTCTGTTCCAATTCACTTACATAGTGTTCTATGTTGTTTTTAATCTCATAAACTTAGTTCAAAGGTGTAGATGAAGGGGTGGGGTGCCAGGAAAGAGTTATTTGTGACACCAGCAACAGAAGACTTCTCCTGTAGGTTGACTTCAGCCTTGGGTTTGGGCATTACCCTGAGGTGATGCTGCTTGTTGTGAGCAGCCCAAAGAGCTGCTGCACTTTCTCCCAGAGCCAGGCTGTATCCTGACACCAAAATGTGGGGTGTTGTGGGCTCCTCTGTGCCTGGTGGGTGACATGCTCGTGCCTTGCAGTGCCCATCGGGCCCCTGAAGAAGGTGCTGGTGGAAGAGCCCAAGAAGCGCGTGGTGCTGATCGAGAACCTGCGCGAGTCGCAGCCCTACCGCTACATGGTGAAGGCCAGGAACGGCGCGGGCTGGGGGCCACAGAGAGAAGCCACCATCAACCTCGCCACGCAGCCCAAGAGACCCATGTCCAGTGAGTGCCAGCCTGGGCAGGGGCCACAGGGGCAGCAGCAGTGCTGGGGAGAGCTCCCCATCACCCCAGCTGTGATGGTGTTCACAGGGGCCTCAGGCTGAGGGAAGAGATGAGGATTTGACTCCATGTTTCAGAAGGCTTGATTTATTATTTTATGATATATATTACATTAAAACTATACTAAAAGAATAGAAGAAAGGATTTTATCAGAAGGCTAGCTAAGAAAAGAATAGGAAGGAATGATAACAAAGGCTTCGTCTCGGACTCTCTGTCCGAGCCAGCTGGGCTGTGTAATTAGAAAAAATTAACATGGACTAATCAAAGATGCACCTGTTGCATTCCACAGCAGCAGATAATCAATGTTTACATTTTGTTCCTGAGGCCTCTCAGCTTCTCAAGAGGAAAAATCTAAGGAAAGGATTTTTCATAAAAGATGTCTGTGACACCCAACTGCTTCCCCACCTCCTGTTTGCTCTGCTGCTCCAGCCATCCTGGGAATGCTGAGGGCCAGCCTGAGCATTGTAAGGTTTTTTGCTGCTTGTCTGGTTTCTTTGCTGCTTGTCTAATGGCCCTTTCCACTTCTCCTGCAGTCCCCATCATCCCTGATGTCCCCATCATTGATGCAGAGGGAGGTGAGGACTATGACAGCTACCTGATGTACAGCGCAGACGTGCTCCGCTCTCCAGCCGGCAGCAAGAGGCCCAGTGTCTCTGATGATTCAGGTTCGTGTCTCTGAGCTTGAAAAGGTCAATTCTAACATTCATTTTCCTTAACAGCAGCTTTCAGCAATGAGCTTCACTGCTCCTTTCCATCTCTCAGGAGATCCAAGTTGTGGAGATGGTGGAAATCAGCATTTGCAAAGCTCAGTAGCTGCATCCATGGGAACACTTGGCTGGTCACAGTGTAAATAAGGCCAGTGCCTCCTTGTTGTAGCCATGGGGCAAAGAGAAATCTCAGTGTGGGATGGGAGAGGAGCTTTTCATGCCCCCCTCCACTCATCTTCTCTTTGTGTTGCCATTTGGCTGGACCATGAGACATCAGCAAAAAAGCATCCGCAAAGACACAACCTCTGAGTCCCCTGGATGCTCAGGGTCTAGGCCAAGCCAACAGGAGGGAATGCAACAGTGCTGGGAGGGCACTGGCCCTTCTTCCTCCATCCCTTCACTTTCTGAATGAGGCTGACTCCCTGGTCTTGTGCTGGGACATGAGCCATAGGTGAAATGATGAGCTGTGTTTGTAGGATCTTCTCCAGAGGGTTCTCCAGGGCCTGGGACCCAAGAGTGAGTCCCTGGTCTTTTCAAGGTGATGGGAACATCAGGAGTCTGACCACCCTGAGTGCACATCAAGGAGTGAGGAAACCTCTCCTGAGCAGAGGACAATTGTTACAGACTCTTCATGCAGGGACAGGAGTACGGTGGGACTTTGCCTCCCACCTTTTGTCATGAGGGACACAGGGCTGGAAAGCAGCCCGGGGGTTGAGGAGCCCCCTGCCTGTCACCTCCCAGCACTCTCCACCTACTGATGGCTGCAGCACCTGAGCTCCTCAGCTCACACCTGGAACACGGGCTGTGAACAGGCATCGTCCCCACTGCTGCTTGTCCCCTCCTGTCCCCAGCAAGCAGCACGGAGGTGGTGGGTGGCCCACCCTGACCCCTGCAGCCCGTGCCTACACCAGTGCTTGCCTTGTCCCAAAAGGCTCCAGGTGGAAATTTGTGCCGTTGCTGGGGGAAGACCTGGACCTCCGCCGCATCACCTGGAGGCTGCCCCCCGAAACCATTCCCCGCCTGTCTGGCAGCAGCCGCTTCTCCTCGGACACCGAGGGGCTCCTCCCCGAGGAGGACAGCGCTGTGGCTGCTGGCACTGCGAGGAGGAGCGCCACGCCCCGGCCCCAAGCAGGTGAAGGACGGCTCCTACGGCACTGAGTGTCCTGTCTCGTCCTGCTTTGAGCTGAGGAGCCCGGGGAGGGGCTCTGTGCCCCCTGCCTCCCCCTGTGTGCCCACCCTCGTGTTGGTGTGATCTGCTCCAAAACCTTGTCCTGGTGTGTCTGCTCACACGGGTGGCAAGGTAACCCCCATCTCGGCACGGACTTGGGAGCCTGCTAGCAAGTTGCTTCTACCAAAGGCTGGACCTTCGAGGCAGGAGCAAACTCAGATGATACCTGCTAAATGCCACCTCCAAGGGCAGCTCTTCACAGTAGTTAAGTGCCCTGAGCTGGACAGGTCTGCTGGACTGTTAAACAGAAATCACTCTCTCGCAGGTGGCTGATCTCTCCTGGCCTGCTGGGAGGGGATGTGGATTTGTTTGTCGAGGCCCAGAACAACAGAGCGGAGTTTGCTTTTCAGATCCAGCTGAGATGGGATCCAGAATGAGATCTGGAGAAACGTCCTCCATAAAGGGCCACTTTCCTTCTTCCACCTTCTTCTAAAATCTGAAATTATAAAGCAGTGTTTGCGTCTAAGGGAGATGTGAGACAATGTGGCGAGAACCACAGGGCAGTGCCCCAGCAGGGCCGAGGTCTGGAGTTACCTTGGGCACCATGGGTGTGTCTGGTGCAGGGGGAAGTCTTTGTTTATCTTTGTTTCTGCGTCTCGTGTTTGGTGTTGTGGCCTGTTCTAGATGTAGCATTCCAGAATCACCTTCCAGAGTGGCTGAACCTGGGATTCAGCCAAGGCAGAGGGGGCACCATGATGCCTCCTGCTTCCTGCCCATGGAAAGTGGAACAGCAGCTTTGTCCACATTCCTCACTGTGTGCCCTCTTCCACAGAGCACTTGATGAATGGCCGGGTGGACTTCTCCTTCCCTGGCAGTGGCAGTGGCACCCTGACCAGGACAGCCAACACCAGCTACCACCAGCTGAGCTCCCACGTGCACCAGGAGCACAGGGTGATGGGCAGCTCCTCGCTGACCAGAGACTACTCCACAATGCTGATGGGGCACGGTGAGTACCACAGGGGTGGGACCTGCCCTTCCCTTCCATCCCTGTGGTTGTCTTTGGACCTGCACCCTAAGGTCCTCGTGGGGGGAGGACTGTGCTCACAGCTAGGGTGGCCTGTGACCCACAGGTCCAGAAGGTCCTGTCCCCACCACGGTGTCCTGGTGCTTTGCTAAGGCCTCTCTGCTTCCAGACCAGTTTGGAAAGGGGTCCCACCCCTCACAGGCAGGGTGCTCAGGGAAGGGAGCTCCATCCTTATCCTCACACCATGAGGCACTCCAGGGAGAGCACACGTCTCCTCTCCTCACTCTATCAGCAGTGTGGTTGCCTTTCAGCTCCATGTGTGTCAATCAGCTGGTGCTGACAGAAGGTGGCTTAAAGATTCTTCAGACCAGAGCCTTAAAAAGTCACCTGTGCAGGAGCCCGGGCTGAACCTGCTCTGAAATCTCCAATGGTGTTTTTCTCTTTCTTCTTGCACCACTTCTGTAGATTACCCAGGGACACTCCTCCCTCCCATCCGTGAAGATGCTGGGAGGACACTCCGGCCCCGGGACATGGGTTTCAGGAGCAGGGCAAAGGTGAAGGGTTACTACCCCAGCATTGGCTGTCGGGACTCTATAATCATGACTGATGGGTCCACAGGGATGTGCAAGTTCATAGGTACAGCTTGTGCAGTGTTTCCTCCCAGCCACACATCCCATAACAGCCCAGCCACCGTCCATCCATGAGCTGCTGCCATCCACTGCTCACTCCAAACCTCCTCTCCATGGCTTGCTGTGTGCTGTGCTGATCTTCCTTCTCACCCAGCCTGCACCTCCATCACATCACCTTTCCATTTGCAGGTGAATTGCAGGTTTCAGCCCACCTGGACTGATTACCATTCACCACCACTGCTGCCACCGTGCTCTGGTCACCCCATTGTCCCCATTCTCTTCATTCCTAACGAGTTTCTTGTTCTCAGTCTTACCCCACAGGCCTTTGGAGAGCTCTTGGGGAGAACGTGTGCTCCTTATGAGAAGTCCCTCTGCAAGCTCCTTGTCAGTGAGGGCCTTCAGTCCTGGGAGGCTGCTGAGCTCTCTGTGAGCCTTGTGTCCCAGTGGGATGAGCTGAGGAGCACCCAGATGTGGTCCCAGGCCTCATGAACAGGACCTGGAGGGCTGATTTAGCTGTAGATTAGGGCCAGTCTTAATTGACCTACACCTGGTGAAGTCTATGAAGCTTCTGGACAGGGTGCTTAGGGGTGAGGAAGGTCACAGCCAGCCCCACGCCCCTTCTCTGGGCTCTCTACCACAGGGGCACATTGCTTAAATTAACTTGTCCCACCCAAGCTTGGCACCCTGAGGCTGTGGGACATCCCTGTGGCTGTGCAGAGCCAGCCAGTCCCCCTTCATGACAGGTCAGCTTGCAGAGATGACATCTCACCACATCCTCCCCAAACCATCAGGACCATCCCATGTCTGCCTGTGCCACCCCCTCCTCTCCCCCCACCCCCTTAACCCCCATCCCCAAAACCTCCAGCCTGATGTTCCCTTTGTGCCTCAGACTCCAGGAAGCCCCTGGGCATCCCTGACACCCCCACCCGCCTGGTGTTCTCTGCCCTGGGCCCCACGTCGCTCAAGGTGAGCTGGCAGGAGCCGCGCTGCGACAAGGAGGTGCAGGGCTACAGCGTGCAGTACCAGCTCCTCAGCGGAGGTCAGTGGCACCCACTGGGCTGGGTGGGACTGCTGGGTGCTGGGGAGGCTGCTCTGGGGCTTCTGGCTCTGCATGACCCTGCTCTGAGCCAGGGGGATTGCACCAGGTGATCTCCAGAGGTGCCTTCCATCCATTCTACCATTCTGGGATTCAGGGTCCTTGTCTAGCTGCCTTTTTCTGTGAGGAAATGTTGCAGCTACCTCACAGCTTTCATTCCCTGTTTCTCCTAGAGGGAGAGCAAGTCCTGGAGTTGCTTGTAGAATCATCTCTCCTCCAAAAAAAGAAACCCTTTTGACTGATCCTCTCCATTAGCACAAATATCTTACTTGAATTTTTTTCAACACATGGGACTTGGAAGAAAGATTGAAATGAAAATATCTTATTTTTACATGAATCTCAGGGCAGTATTAGTGAAAATATAATTATTTTGTCTGAAAGTCCTTGAGCTTTCAAGAAGCTGTTGTTTGTCCCAAGCCTTTTTTGGAGAGACATCTCATCCTGCACTACCCATTGTTGGTGGCAAGGTGTGATGGAGATGGTTGGGGAGGGACCCTGGATGGCTTTTGCAGGCAGTTTGTTTGAGACAGAGTTTAGGTGAAGGGCAGCTCTGTCTTTGTGATGTTGACGTCTCTTCCCTGCGTGTCCCAGGAGAGGTGCACAGGATCACCATCCCCAACCCCAGCCAGAACTCGGTGGTGGTGGAGGACCTGCTGCCCAACCACTCCTACATCTTCAAGGTGAAGGCGCAGAGCGAGGAGGGCTGGGGCCCCGAGAGGGAGGGAGTCATCACCATCGAGTCCCAGGTGGACCCGCAGAGCCCTCTCAGCCCCGTGCCAGGTGAGCTGCTGGGACAGGAGGGTGGCACTGGTGGCTGTGCTGCTCTCTGCAGTGCTGGCCTGCATGTTTTATCTCCTCTTGACACATCCTTGTTGGGATCTCTAGCTGGTCACAGTGACCCCAAGAAGAGTTTGAAAGTCTCTTTTCCCAGCCTGGCACTTGAAGAAGGAGTCAGGGCTCTTCATTTCTCAGTCTCAAGGTTGTTTATTGTTTCTTATCTATAAAATTCTTTCTCCTGCCCTTCTGAGGTCCATCCAGCAGGATAGTTCCAGGCACTCTGCCTGCCCCCAGGGTGGTGTTATGTCTTTATACTAAAAACTACGTGTACAATGTTTACAATTACTTTCAATACCTATCACCAGTGTTAGACAGTGAGCTTCTACTCTAAACCAATCTGTAAGTGCCACCATCACAGCAGAAGATGGAGGCCAAGAAGAAGGAGGAGAAGGCAGGACATGCCCAGATCCCTCCATCTTGCCCCCCTGAATCCCCATTCTAAAAACCCCAAAATCTACTTTTTCACCTTGTGATAAATTCACTATCATTCTACCTAATTTGTCATGGCTTGCAGATCTTCATCTAAGGTTGGTAATTTGCTCCAAGGGTCATAATCAAACCCACAGGTGTTTTGGGCTCTGTGCCAGGGTCTCTGAGACCCCTGGCAGGGGTCTTGCCTGCTCAGGACAGCCAGAGGGATGTCCTGGGTCCTGACACTTCCTCACCTCTCCTTTCCTTCCTCTCAGTTTGGAACAGGACCTTCTTCCCCACACACTCACTTCACACTCTTTGTCCAGGAAGCTGAGCCCTTGCAGCTCATTCCATAAATGCTCTGTGCAGATCCCTCCCAGGCTGCCTTTGCTGTGATTCTGACGTGTCTCCTGTGCCCTGGCAGGTACCCCCTTCACCCTGAGCACCCCCTGTGCCCCTGGACCCCTGGTTTTCACTGCCCTCAGCCCGGATTCTCTGCACCTCAGCTGGGAGAGGCCCCGCGAGCCCAACGGGCCCATCCTGGGCTACAGGATCACCTGTGAGATGCTGCATGGAGGAGGTACAGTGTCACCACAGCCCCCTTGCGCTGAGCACCAGACACCTCCAGCTAAGGCAGCAATCTGCTGCATTTTGCCTGGGACCAGTAAAAGAGCTGTTTGCAGATAAAGTGGGGGCACGAGGCTGATTCCAGGCCTGGGAGATGGTGGCTCCTCACACTTTGTGCCATTGCATGGTCTGGGCTAACAAATGTGGTGGGAAGAGGAAAGACCTCAGCCAAAACCCCATGGAGGTTGTTGAGGTGCTCCCCACTGCAGTGAAATGGAGTTGTTTTAACCCTCAGTAGAAGTGGGTGCAGGCCTGCAGCCTGTGGGTTGTAAGGCTCAGGGGCAGCCGAGGCAGCAGAGTTGAGGAGTTGTGTGTTTGGAGGGACCACCACTCTGATCTGTCTTCACCACCCTGTGTCTCTGGATCAGGGGAGCCCAGGACAATCTATGTCGAAGGAGACAACCTGGAAACCACCCTGACTGTGCCCCACCTGAGTGAGAATGTCCCATACAAGTTCAAAGTGCAAGCCAACACCACCCAAGGCTTCGGGCCTGAGAGAGAAGGCCTCATCACCATTGAATCTCAGGACAGAGGTACAGTGCCCTTGTCTTTGTGGAGTGCGAAGAGAAACCTCTCAGAGCATGGAGCACAACTCCTACAATCACTTTCCAGCTCTCGTGGTGACTCCATGCTCCATGAAAGACATGGAGACAGTTTTCCATGAGGGCAGTGCTGTGCCTGGTGAGCACTGACCCAGTCCTGGTGCATCAAATGAGGGAGCACCTGCCTGTGTTTAACTTGTGGTGAAACTTCTGCCTGTTTGTACAAATACCTGGAGGCAGCTTCTTACTGCCCAGTGTGAGACCTTCCCAGTCTTCCCAGTTCCTCCTGACCCTGGCTCTGATATCAGCAAGGGAAGGTTCCTGAGCTTGCTGGTGTTCACTGGGCAGTGTTGAGGATTTGGAAGCTCTTTGTTATTTCTTGACTGTTATTTCCTTTCCTTCTCCCCAGGTGCTTTCTCCCAGTTTGGAGGACAGCAGTACATGAGAGAAGTTTACAAATTCCCCACTGACTACACCACCAAAACCAGCATCAGCCATTCCTCTCTGGATCCCCACTTCACAGGTAGGGACTCATTGTTGCTCTTCAACCCTCAGAAAACAAAGGGTATTTCTTCTTTCCAAAGGTCTGAGGCTGCTTTTATCAGGTGGGATTGAAGAGGGTCAGCTCTTTTCCTCCCCTGTGTCCCTGCTTTGCCCCAGGGAGAGCTGCAGCCATTCCCACACGTGCTGCCCAGTTCTGGAGGGAGTGCTGTATTTGAGAGTCCTCCAGCACTATCACTAGGGACAAAATCAGAGCTCTTCCTGAAAGGTTCAATCTGTTCAGAGCAGACAGAAACAGAGCAGTGGGACAAACATCTTTATTCACATCAGTGTAGTTGTCCCATGTTATTCCACTTGAGCTCATGGGTTCATGCTGAAACATGGAGAGTTTGGGAGCTGTCAGGAGATCCAAACCCTTGGCTGACATAGCAAAGCACTGGGTCACTTGGTGTAGTTGTGTTTGCAGAGGTGCCAGGATGAGGGAAGAGATGAGAATCTTGACTCCATGTTTCAGAAAGCTGATTTATTATTTTATGATATATAGTATGCTAAAAGAAAAGTATATATTAAAACTATACTAAAAGAATAGAAGAAAGGATTTCTTCAGAAGCCTTGCAAGGAATAGAAAGGAATGATGATAAAATCTTGTGACTGACCAGAGTCTGAGACAGCTGGACTGTGATTGGCCATTAATTAAAAACAACCACATGAGGCCAATCACAGATGCACCTGTTGCATTCCACAGCAGCAGATAATTATTGTTTACATTTCGTTTCTGAGGCCTCTCAGCTTCTCAGGAGAAAATATCCTAATGAAAGGATTTTTCATAAAATATGTCTGTGACAACTTGGTGGGGAGAGGTCCCTAAATGCCATTTCCTGTGATGGAAAACTCCTGCCTGGAGTTGTGGGGCAGAGCAGACCCTGTTCCCTGTGACCCCACCCTTCCCTTGCAGACGGGATGCTGGTGACCACGCAGCACGTGGAGAGCTCCAGCAGCACCCTGACCCAGGAGTTTGTGAGCCACACGGTGCTGGCCAGCGGGACCCTGAGCCAGCAGCTGGAGAGGCAGTTCTACGAGGCCTGAGCTGGGGCAGGCCGAGCACCAGCAGCACTTCCGGGATCAGTGCCAGGATTTACGGAACAACCCAAAGGGGCTTCACCCAGCTGGTGCCTGGGCAGCTCCTCCTGTGGGCACAGACCCTGTGAGGCACTCCAGGCTCTGCACTTCTCCTTTGGAGCCCAGCACACTCAGAGCTCTGGCACTGCTGGGTGTGTGAGCTCATCCTCCAGGGCAGAAATTGGGGTGTCTCCATGGCTTCAGCCTCCCCAGGTAAATGGAATGGAATGATTTTATTGTCAGGTCCATGGTTTTGAGGGGATCTCAGGTGTCAAAACCATGATTTGTAGAGGGTCACCATTTCCATTTTTGCTCCAGGCTCTCTGGTGACTCACCTGTCCACTGGAGTTGTTTTGTTCAGTATGGGGGGTTTTATGAGAGCTGCAAGGTAGGGTTTTGGGGTAACCTGTGCTTTCTTATTGCACCTATTTGTGTCTGTCCTTTGCTGCTGACATTTGGTACCACGAGAGCAAAGACTAACCTTTCATTTGTGTTGCATTACTTCATGGCCTCAGATGCTTTTTTTTTTTTTTTTTTGCATAAAGCATTGTACAGTTTTCATAGTATATATATATAAATATATATAAATGTATTTTATTATTTTATAAAATAATGGAGGTGGATGAGATCTATGCTGAATGTGGAGGCTACACTGGAACTGTGGCTGCTGGGAAACATGAATAACAGGAAGAAATGAGTCAAGGGCTTGATCCAAAGGCCACTTTAACCCTGTGATGAGGCTGGAGGGCTCTGCCTTGGACCCTTCAGCCCCAGAGGCTCCAGCAGGAGGCTGCAAGGGCCCAGATCCACCCACTGCAGAACATCTCCCATCTGGAGCACTTGGGCACAGAAGGGCTGGGAGCTTCCCAGAGGTGAGGGATGGGAACTGTGCTGGGATTCCTCACACAGCTGATGTGAACAGAGTGAGATTTCAGGGCAGAAGATGTTTGGTACCTTTTAAAAGTCTTTTTGCCCAGCAGCAAGATCCATAAAGGGACCTGTGCTCCATCAGTAAACACAAAGGAAGAGCAGGCCTGGAACAACAGGCACTCCCACTGTCCTGAACAAGTCTGAGACTCCTTTCTTCAGCCTCGGCTTCAGCTCCCCTCACACAGGGCTGGGCTGAGCTGAGACCCTGCTGGGTTTGATGTCCAGTGCTGGGCAGGATCCCTGGAGGCTCCCTGCCCTCTGCCAGGGACAACAAGCAGTGCAGCTTTCCCTGCTGTGTTCCAGCTGCATGGGAGCAGGTGAGGAGCCTGCCTGGAGCAGCAGCTGCCACTCTCTGGGTTGGAGCTTCCAGCCAAGGCAGCAGCTGCCTGGGCCCCTGGCAGCATCACCAGCCTGCTTTGATCTCACAATGAACCTTGGCTTTTTTGGTGGTTTTCTTTATTTCTTTTTCTATTTCCTTTTTTCTTTTGGACTCAGAAGAAGAGCTCACCACCAACAGCTCCTTCTCCTCTTCAGGCTTTTTATTTTACTGGGGGAAGGGCTGAACACCTTTCAGCCAAAGATGAATGTGGGCGAATCAAGTCCACAGGAATCTCCATGACTGCAGCTGGGGCTGGGCCAGTTTTGAACTTGGCTCCAGGGATCCTTCACCAACCTGAGGTTTTACTGTGCCTTCAAGAAGCATTATTTCTCCTGAGCAAGCGCCAGGGGCATAAGGCTGCCTCCCTCCCTGCTCCCTTTGTGCCTGGGGTTGGGATTTTGTCTCCTCCTGCTCAAGGACTCTGTGACCCTTTAGGATTTGTGCCCCAGGGTCAGACACTGAGAACTGCCTAAACAGGGACTTTCCCAAGCATTTTAACCAAAGATGATCCTGTTCTCCAAGAGCAGAGCCTACCCCATCAGCTGCTTTCCAGGGGATCAGGCCTTCCCCATGCACATGCACTAACCCAGGCCTGTCTTTTTTAATTTATCTGCTTGTTGGAATTGGTGCTGTTTCAGCCTTTCCAAGATGGATCCAGAGCAGGTCTTTGATCAGATGGCTTCCACTTGCACTCAATAAATATTTTCTCTATATTCTGCCTCTTTATTGTTGATTTTTTTTAAAATAAAATAAAAAAATCTCTCCCTCCATCTGCAGCAGATGCAGGGCAGGGGCCAGAGGGAGATTCCCAAGCAGGAACTTCTGCCAGGTGTCAGTGCCTGCAGCTCCTGCATTGCCATCCCCTCCTGTGACTGCAGCTCTGCTAATGGCTCCTTGCACCAGTGCAAACTGGAGATAAACCAGTATCCTCTGAGGAACAGTCCCAAGTGCTTTTGGCCCACACAGGCACAGAACAACTATGCAAATGCTTTACTTTTATTAGGTAAGTGAGGCAGATGGACAAACCGATCCCCTTGGGAAAGCCTTGGGGAGGGAGGCAATGCCAGCCCAAGGTTCCCAGGGGAGGTGGTCACTCCTCTACATGGACAGAGCCTTTGCCCCTGCCGAGGGCTTGCTGAGGTAGAAGGTGGCTTTGCCACTGTATTTCTCCTGAAAAACAAGAGGAGCAGTTGAGGCTGGGGTTCTGGGGCTGGGGGGAAAGGCCCTGCTGGCCAGTTCCACACTCTACCCCCACTTTTCACTGAACTGTAACTCCTGGTCATGTTTCCTCTCTCCCACCTCTGCCCCTTCTTTCCCCCTCCCCCAGCCATTTATAGAGTGCACCATGCTCTCATAGAGCAGTAAAATGAAGTTCTGCCTTGTCCACAGGCCCCATGTCCTGATACCCCCGTTCTGTTGGGATTTCCAGCTACCTGAGCATGCCAAGGTGCTCAGTTAGGGAACACTGGTGATGGCACTGAGGGCTATTACTGCCAGTGTTCAGCTCAGGAGGACCCAAGCTCAGCTCCAGATCTGTGGATGGATTTGGCCATCCTGAAGCTCCCCCAGCACTTTTTCACTCCCTTTCTCAATGCAACAAAGTCCTGGGGCAGGGCTCTGTGACTGGCACGGTACTGAAGTGCCTGCAGGAGCTCAGTGGCATCAACAGGCTCAGGGCCATGGATGAGCTCCAGCAACCCCAATGGCTCAGGAGTGACAGTTCAACTGTGTCCCTGTGCTGTGCCCCTGAGAGGTCCCTGGGGATCTTTCAGTCTCTTATTGTTGCCCCCCATCCTGGGACTTTTCTGCCACGTACCTGGATGTGCTTCTTGGCTTTGTCTGCAGCCTCAGCCTTCAGCAGTGTCACCGTGCAGCCTCCAAAGCCTCCCCCGGTCATCCTGCTGCCATAAACCCCATCCACTTCCAGGGCTGCTGCCACCAGCTGGTCCAGCTCGGGGCAGCTCACTTCATAGTCATCCCTGGAGAGAGGAGAGCCGTGCTCTGCCCTGCCCTGCACGCTGGGCACAACCACTGCAGCCCTGACAGCTCCAGCTTGTGCAGCCACTGCCACAGCAGCAGTGCTGGGTGCTGCAGACCCTGGCCCGGCGGTCAGCATCCTCGGGCACCCTCACCTGAGGGAGTTGTGGCTCTCCACCATCAGCTTCCCGAAGGTGGTGTAGTCCTTGTCCTGCAGTGCCTGCGCTGCCTCCTCTGTCCGCGCTATCTCGCCGATGACGTGCCTGGCCCGCCGGAACACCTCATCCCCCAGGCGGCTCCTGGCCTCTGCAGGGACATTTGTGCAAAGCCTCACAGCCTGCAGGATGCTGCATCCTGCATCCATCCTGTGCCAAAGCTTCCCTGCCCGCAGCACATCCCATCGCAGGGTGTGCGCCCACCCGCCTGCCCCAGGTCTCAGCCCCCGGGGCACCAAGCTCTTGTGTTGTGGTGCGATGTAACAGCCTGTTTCAGCTCTCCCAGTTCCTTCCCCAGGTGTGCCAACAACCTCTCCCTTCCCCTCCCTTGCCCCTTCGCTGAGAGCTGTCCATCAATCTTGGCATTCCAGCAAGGGCATCGTGTGATTGATTGGCAGAGTTCAAAAGCTGCCTCTCAGCCCTGGGGACATTGGGCCCATTCTGGTGTCATTTGTCCCCTGAGACTTCCCCCCCTTATCTGGTTGGTGGCTCCCTACCGCTTCCCACCCCCTCTCCCTGGGGTTAAAGGAACAGCAACCACGGGCTCAGGGAGTTCCGTTGGAGCTGGTGCTGCATTCAGAGGCCTGTGGGCCAGAATAAAGCTCTGGATCCAAACCCTCCATCAGACTCCTTTTTCTTCACCTCGCCTAAAGCCTTTCTGCCAGAGGTAAACCTGAGCTCCTGCATGCCTGGACTTGTCCCAAGTGCCCAGCTGCAGCACACAGCTGGCCAGAGGCATCTCTGAGGTGAAACCACCACAGCTGCCGCCTCTGGTCAAGCAGCAAGGCCCAGACGAGCCCAGGCACGTTCTATCCAGCAATATTGCTATTTAATTCCAATACTCCTGATGCCCCAGGGAGTGACCAGAGGTGAGGGGAGGGCTGTCCCCACCTTCCAGCTCGGCCATGGTGGCATCCCTGAGGCTGGCCTTGCCCAGGGCCGCCGCTGCCTCCTCGCACTGCCGCCGGCGCGTGGGGTACTCGCTGCCCGTCAGCGTGTGCCGCACGTTGGAGTTGGTGATGAGCACGGCCAGGCTGGGGTCTTTCAGAGGCACCAGCTTGGTCTCCAGGGACCTGCAGGGACAGCTCAGCCGTGTGCCCGCCCCCTGCCCGCCCCGGCTCGCACACACCTGAGTCAGGTGAGGCCACGTGGCAGGCAGAGCCTGAGCTACAGAGGCAAAGTCCAGCAGGTTTGGGATTTCACTCCAGCACTGCACTCCCTCCCAGATATTAGTGCCATAACAGACCCTAAGGACCGTGGGAAAGACAACCCAGGCAAGGAGCAGAAAGGTTGCAGCAGGAGGAATCAAGATCAGGAGGAATAAAAGCGCAGGCTGCCCCACGCCTATGAGGAGGTTCTGGGCTGGGTTCAAGGGTTAACCTCTCCCTGCAGTCCTGCCCTCGGTTCATGGCCACAGGGCCAGCTCAGCCACAGCTGCTCAAGGAGGTGAGCACAGCACAGCGAGC